AATTAAAAAATCTATAGAATCTTATTTTATCGAAGATAGGGATAGTAACGAAGAAGAAATAAAAGAGTTGCAGAAACAGAATTTGCAAAAGCTTAGACTTGATCATTGTAATCAAGAAGAATACGTTGGCGTTTAAAATTAGAAGAGTTTGACTATACTATCATACACAAACCAGGTAAAAATAATATAGATGAGGTTTTGCAAGTTTTAGAAAATGAGAGTAATCAGATAGGTCCCAGTAACAATGAACAACAGATTCAACAACGAAGGAAATTCAAATATCAGCACAGCCCATAGTTCAGAATCTTCGGAAAATATATCTTTTGCATTAGTTGATGATATCATAAACAACAAAGCTTTTCAACTGATAGTAAAACAATCTCCTCATGATGCGTACCTATGTAAAACGTGACTTAGAAGTATTTGATGAGCATAAAATTATCCGAGCTACAATTCCAAATAATGCAGAAATTGTAACAAAATTCCTGCGAGAAAATGCAACTGATAAAAACACATACATTTATTTTATATCAAAACAACTTAGATCAGTCTTCCAAGAAGTGTGGACAAAATACTTTAGGAAGTTAAAATTGATTGAATGCACAAAATTAGTTAATAATGTACTACCTGAAGAACGCTTGATGTTAATGAAGTATAAACACGAAGGAAAAACAAATCATAGAGGTATTGAAGAAACACTGAGATGCCTTAAAATGAATTACTATTGGAAATCCATGAGAAATGACATCTCAAAGTATATCAATGATTGTGAAACGTGTCAAAGAAATAAATATAACAGAAGGCCTAATAACGAACCCTTAGTCTTGACTCAAACACCATCCAGGCCCTTCGAAATTATACATATTGATACTTATAAAATGGGAAACGACAAGTTCTTGACAATATTAGACAAATTCTCCAAATTCGGACAGGCTTTACCCTACTTCGGTACAGCTATTTCCGCATGCCAACAATTGGTTCATTTCTTTTCATTTTTCGGTATTCCAAAATTAATTGTTTCCGACGAAGGCACTGAATTTAAAAACGATGTATTGAAAGAGTTGCTGAAAACCCATAAAATTGACATTCATTTTACTACTCCATATCATCATGAATCAAACTCCCCAGTTGAAAGATTCCATTCAACTATAACAGAACATGTAAGAATTTTGAAAGAAAAAGATGATTCCGACAATATATCAATCATGCCATATGCTGTTATTGCTTATAATAGTACTATTCATTCTAGTACAGGATTTTCGCCCTACGAATTAGTTACAGGTCATACGGACAGTAGGGATCCCATGTCTTTAATCCCAACTCAAGCTTACACTCAATACGTAAATGCTCATAAAAATAATACGAATGCATTGTATGAAACAGTTCAGAATGAATCTCAAAGGGTTAAAGAAAACACAATTAACAGGGCAAATAGGAAGAGAGATACAAATAAAAATTTACAGATCGGTTCACAAGTCTACCGAAGATTAGAAAATCGTGCGGGAAAAACAAGTAAAAAATTCAATGGTCCCTATATTTTAACAAATATTTTGGAAAATGGAAAGATTGAAATTGAAAATCCAAAAACCAAAAAGAAAATAATAGTACATATTAATGAAACCAAAATTTTACCTAAAATTACAGATGGCTCATCGGAGTTACAAGAGTCACCCCCTCAGTCCTGTTCCACGACTTAATTAAATACCCCGGACTTCTCCCGTACCAACTCGGTTCATCAAAATTGGTCGCCGATTATTGGTCGTACGTACAAATTTATAATATGTCACCATTGATTGAAGAATTTCGTTCAATTCAGGATAAAGCTAATAGTCTTCATAAAAGTTTTAAGAGTTATTTCGGTTACAAGATGGATTTTGAAAATTCCTTTATACCACTTTTGAATTTAGAAAAGAAAATTGAGCAACAAATTAATCAATTGGACCCTTCACAAGTTAATCACAAAATTATAAAAAGAGGTTTATTGAACCCTGTGGGATCCATTATTAAATGTCTCACAGGAAACTTAGATCAAACAGATGCAGAAAAATACGATCAAGAAATAAAAACCTTGCAGGAAAATCAAATTAAGTTGACGAAAAATTCAATTAGCCAAATAACACTTATGAAAAATACTATTAATAATTTTGATAATATGGTTTTAAATGTTTCACACAATCAAATGATCTTGAAAACTAAAGTAGAAAAATTACAAGAAGTGATAAATAAGCAAATATTACTGGATGATTATACCTACGAATATTATGAAGCTTTTTCAGTAATAACTCAAATTACCTTACACTATCAGACAATATATGACATTTTTGAAAAATTAGAAACTGCTATATCGTTTGCAAAATTAAACAGCCTTCATAATTCTATTGTTAACCCAGTGGAATTGCTGAATGAAATTAAGAATTCAAAGTTTTCAAGATATAATTATCCATTCGAACCAGAAGTAAAAAATATTTTGAATTTAGAAAAATTGATCAAAGTAAAATCATATTCGAAACAATCTACTGTCACATTTATTTTAGAAGTACCTTTGGTAGAACCAAAGCCATATCAATATTATCAATTATTCCCAATACCCATTCCGGAAGCTGATTCCTTTTTCTACTTGCATTTGCCATATAAACCTTTCCTAGCACTAAACGGAGATTACTATGCTTATATGGACTCGATATGTGAAAAAATTATGGACCAAGAATACGTGTGCGAGGACACTTCAAAATATTTGGTGAGTGACAATGCCCCCTGTGCCGTGCAACTATTGAACTTTAATTCGAACACTTCAAACTGTCGAACGGTACAAGTGAAAACACAAACTATACAAGCAACTACAATAACTAGCGGAAAGTGGTTAGTTACTGCCCCTAAACCTACGGTGGCAAATTTCCAATGTTCTGATGTTACTGATAATATGCCACTTAATCCGGGAACCTATCTTTTGGAAATAACATCTGATTGCGTTGTTAACATTGACTCTTTAATATTCAAAAATCAAAAATCTAGTAGAACCAAATTTGTAAATTTACATCTACCAAAATTGAATTTGAGTCTACAATTCCACGAAGGCAAGACGACGAAGCTGAATTCACCATCCATCGATTGGAGAGAGATCGATTTGACGAAAAACCAAGAGATGCAGAAGCGATTAGAGATCCAGGAGGAAACCCTGGGAAAATTCACCGAATACCCCGTATACTATGAAAGAATAAGTGTTTGGACAATTTTGTTGTACGTTTTCGCTGGTTTCGCCTTACTTTATTTTGTCTCGAGATTGTATTACAATTATCTTGTAACCAAGAGGCGCTATCAGCTGGAACAGCAAAATAATGATATAATTTAGAATTTAAGTTTTCTTTTTGCTAATTTCAGAATTTTTGTTTTATTTTACATTTTCTTTTTTTTGATTTCATTTTGTTTTCGTTTTGTTCATTGTATTTTAGTTTAATGACCATCCAGGAGGATGTTCCGTCTAAGGGTGGAGGAGTTACATGCGTAGCACCTTATGATGTAATACTTTATATTGCACTTTTGCTGATTTAGCTTTTTATTATAATCTATTGTTTCTTTAATAGGATTAAGCAGATTTCCGATGTACGTGCTAGAGTTAAGACGTAAATTTTATCCGAATTAATTGTCGGTTATTTCTGAAAGTTTGTATTTTCAAAATAAATTTTGTTTTTAAAAACAAGGTTTTGAATCTCGAACTTGTAAGTGTACATACGAGCAATAATTCAGCGTTTATTGCTTTGTTTTACATGAAAAACGTGTTTTCGGTTGCGCATTCACAAAAAAAATACCGTACACTGTTCACAGTACCATTACTGAAAAATTTGCTAGTTAAAAATTTGCAAACAAGGCCATTACTGTTTTTTGAAACTAATATTTTTTTTAAATATGTATTTTAAATTTAAAATATTGGAAACAGTGATAGAAGCCAAATTTTATACAAATTTATCTGTAATTATACATATACATAGAGGGTGTCTCATAAGTTGAATTTTTTTTAACTGCATCGATCTATTAATTCTAAGCAACTTTTTCAAGTAATTTTTTTTAATCTGGAAAATAAAAAAGTTGAAAATTATTAAAAAGTCTTTAAATTTCGAATATTTTTCAATACGTTCAATTTGACAATCAATCAAAATGGCGACAATTTTGAGCAGTTTTTGAATATGTACATACTACATAATACAAACCTTCTTTACGTTAATTTATTATTTTTATTGCTGCCGACACACTGCAATATAAAATATAATTTATAGTAACTATCAATTTATACAATGAAATTACGTCTTAATAAAAATATTTCACCATATCGACCACTCAGAAAACATATTAAAAAGCAATTTGAAAACACAGTTATGAAACCATAAAAAGAATAAAAAATATCTATTGGAAAATCTTTATATTATCAGCAAATCCAATTAATGCCAGTTGATATTACGAGAAATATTTTCATAATTTCTAATACATATTATAAAAATCCGAAAAGGAATATAATTATAAAGGAACCCTTATTATTATACAGGCAATAAAATTAAAAAATGAGAGCATCGGATTACCTTCACCTTGTTATCCTTATTGTGCGAATATAATTAATGCATAATTCTCAGTAGCTTATACGATATGGGCATTATAATGGCTGATTAAAATGCGGTTACGGCGACTGTAACATCATAAGGCCGACAAGATATGTAAAGATGGTGCTAATTTACAAAAAATCTCTATTGCGAACGATCCATGTTCATGCATAGAAGATCCTGTGAACAATAAGAATGAGAAGCATCGCCTGACCTACTAGCATCGATAATTATTATAGACGGTTCTTTGTTTATTATACCAATGCCTGATGATGCAAATCGACAACGATGGACACGACGGATTTATTAAATCATTGTTAAATCAATCTTAATTATTCTTTAATGTACTAGCAAGAGAACATGATTTCACTAGCGGTACAATCAAATGAAATTGCTTTTTATTTTTTTCAGAATTTGCTGCCTTTGCCTGCTGGAGCCAGTGCGGCCCTGGTCAAACCGACGAAATACCATTATTATCCTCATAACCAGCATATTTACTTATTACCAGAATGCGCTATACAACAGGTAGATTATCATTATTGTCTTACGAGATACAATGTACGAATTGTTTCATGAAGTCTAGTAATGGTTATGAATTTTTCTAAAACTGAAGAATATTCAATTTTAATGCTTGAACAATATTTTAACGTGTAGGTGTGCAACGCAGTCTACATCAGGCTTAATTGGACTCAACCTTTATGCGCCTGTCCTTCTAGGTACAGGGATCCTTGCTCTGCCTCACTGAATTCTGATGATCAGCACACAACAGAATTGATGACTGACAAAAATAGGGTATTCCTAATCATTTTTCGTTTTCTTCTACAAAAAATTATTTTTCTAAATTGTACTCGGTTTACAACTAAATTATTTTCAGAGAGTTCTGACTTTGGTGAAAACTTGCGAACCGACAGCAGAAATGAGACTGTGTAGATCGCCAAGAGATTGGTCATTGCTAGCACTGCAAAATATTCGAAGTGGAAAATCGCATTATTTAGTTATATGCAGATGTCCTGATACGAGTATTCTAGGTAAACAAATCGTTTTCACATTCGCATGAGCGACCTTCTAATTGCTAAGCATTCATTACTTTTTTTTTTATTTACAGAGGGGCCGATGTCGCACGATCAACCAACATACGCAAGTGTTCCAGGAATTAGAGTGTACGGAATGATGTGCGTTGATGGGAGAAGAGACAGACAATCTAGGATATTCAGAGAATTAGACACGCCTCAATTTCCGTGGGAGAAAGCAATTGAACTAGGAAAAACAGCTATATGGGACTAGTTTATTAATATGAAAAATTATCTATTCCTCGAGTATCGCGATCGTATTAATCGTATTTATTATTTATATTTAAGCTACAGCTTACTATATTATAAAATATGGTACTTACTAGATCGGACAAACGAGCGGCTAAATCGCTATTAGCTCTTCCATCTAAGTGCATGCATGAATAATTAACATATTACGATGATATTAGGTTCAATTTTACACAATTCTTGAAAAATCTGGACTGTTATGATCTCAAATTTAATGTAAATTGAAAATTTAAAAATATAGTTTTTGCAAAGAATTCACGCAATTGTCATAATCTCAAGTCTTTTCTAACTTATCTCTCAACTTCTCTTTTCCTTTACTACAATACAGAATTTTTAATTTGCTAAAACTATATTTAATAATTAATTTTGTGTATGCACTATTGAAATGTAGCCAGTTTCCTGTAAACTGAGTAGCAAATTATATTAGTATAATTATATTTAATACCTACATTTAAAAATTAGATTAGTTTTTAAACCAATTAAATATAGTATATCACATGACTCGTAAATGTATAACTTATTTTGTACTAGAAAAAATTGAGACGTCAAATAAATATCTTAAAATAAAAATTAGTTATTTCAATGAAATTGATGAATTTCTCAAACAATAAAAAATTAAAGTATAATTGTTAATTAAAAATATATTTGCATTCATATATTTATTTTGTAGAACCCTTATATACATATTTATATAATATACTTTTCAATAAAAAAAATTATTGAATGAATACAAAATGTTGAATATCAATGCAGGCAAAACTATTTTTGAGCATAATTAGTAACATATTCCATTACTTTAATTTTAAATTCTTCTTTAGAATTCCTATACATTTCGGCAGCTTCCACGTTAAGAGGATCTTCAAAATTTAACAAATCCTTGAACATAAATGTAGTGAGAACAAATATAAATGTAATATTAAGGACTTACTGTGAATAGAGCGTTAAGACCCCATACAACATCGATTAGTGTTCTTATCGGTGACCAACCCATACCATCCTCAACGCTGTGCCTTCTAAAAAGAGATAAACAAACTTCACCCGATTCAGTAATATTAGGATGCCATAATTTTGTTATACATTTCACTATAGGAGGCTAAAAATATAAATTAAAAGCCTTTATGAAAGGGAAAATATATTAAATGTTCTTACTTCCATGTTGTATTCGTCAGTAACGTTTATTTCAAATCTAAATGTCCCTCCTTCCCAGTAGCCTTCAGTCGGTTTCACTATTAAAATAAACTTACTTAAATCGTTAACGTTCAAATAATCAATGGAGCAACATGCTGGTAATAATTTGGACATTTCTTGAGCCTCTTTCACTAGGAGTCTATCTCTTATGGACACCCTGGAAGAAGTAGGCTCTGCACTTTCGGTTTTTCGTTTCAAACGTTGTTTTAACGTTATCATTGTGGATTAATTTTATTCAATGAATTAGGTGTAAATTTATATTTAGAACATGATATTTATATTTTTTTGATATTGTTTATATTTTTATGAGACATTTTCACAACTTTGGTTAGGTTGATTAGTTTGACATTTGACAGAAACCAGAAACATTACTGTCATTTGTCACTAATGTCACTGAATTTTTCAATCATTCGAATAATTTCGATTGCAAAAAGCAACTTTTCGTCTGTCCTATTTTATTTCATATATTAGAATGTAATAGACTGCTAATTTCTTTAAATCGATTATCCAATGAAATAAAATAGCGCGAAAGAATGAAAAGTACATAACCAAAATAACAATTATAAAATGTATAGGTGATTTAAGTTTGTTTCGATATTATTAGTTATGGGTATAACAGGATTACTGCCGTTTTTACAAAAAGCCACAAAACCATGCCATATTTCCGAATTTCGAGGATCTACTGTAGCAATTGATACTTATTGTTGGCTGCACAAGGGGGCCACAGCATGTACATTTCAGCTGGCTAGTGGAGAAGATACCAATATGTGAGTCCTAATAGAAAAACATATTACTTTTATTAATTTCGTCTTAACTTCCAGGTTAGTTAATTACTGTGTTAAGTACTTAAATATCCTTAAATCCTACGATATCAAACCGATACTGGTGTTTGATGGAAAAAATTTACCTGCTAAAGCTGAAACTGAAAGTAAACGACGTGAAGCTCGAGACAGGGCTAGGCAAAGAGCTTCAGAGCTGATTAAGTTGGGTAAAACGAACGAAGCTTTGAATTATTTGAGGCAAAGTATTAATATTACTCCGAAAATGGCTTCTGCCGTGATAAAGGAATGCCACAAATTAGGCATTGATTGTATCGTAGCGCCATATGAATCGGATGCCCAATTGGCTTTTTTTAACCTGAAAGGTGTAGCAGATGTAGTGATAACGGAAGATTCTGATTTGTTATTGTTTGGTTGTACTAAAGTTTTTTATAAGTTGGATTCTACTGGTTCTGGATACTTAATAGAAGCTGAAAAAATACCGATATCAATGAATATGAGACCGGATAAATACACGTTCGATAAATTCAGATATATGTGCATACTATCAGGTTGTGATTATGTTAGTTCTTTACATGGAATAGGTTTAAAGAAAGCAATGAAGTTCATTAAACTTACTGAGGAAACTAATCCTTTAATAGTAAGTTTGCAGTATGATTTAAGGTATATTTTAAATAACAGAATTTTTAGTTTTTAGGTAAAATTCCTCAGTACTTAAATATGCGACATTTAACTATAACTGACGAGTATAAAGAAAACTTTATGCTAGCATACGCCACGTTTAAGCATCAAACTGTTTATGATCCATATGAAAGAAAATTAGTACCTCTCATGGATCCTGCCATACACGGAACAAATCCTGCACATTGCAAAAATGCTGGGAAAATGTTTGAAGATGAAATAGCTTATCAGATTGCTTTAGGCAATATAAATCCTAATAATCATGAAGTATTAAATGATTGGTCTCCAACAAAAAGTGTAAGTTATTAGGTGTATTTTATCATAAAAATTTGTAACGCATTATCTTGTAGAAACTACCAAAAAACAGCATTTGGTCGGGCGCTGTTCATAAGAGTATATCTCGAAAACAACTCCAACTCAATCTTAGAGATATGGAAATGAAGAAAAAGATATTAATAGACAAAAATAGTGAAGAAAATGAAAAATATCACAATTGGATAAATCATCAAGATTTACAAGTACAAGAAGAAATTGCAGTTTATTTTAAAGAGCCTCAACAAAACAAAGTAGCCGAAGAACCTGAAGATAAAATTGTTGAACAACAGGATAGACTTTCGCCTGTTCTAACTCGAAATCCTTTTATAAAGAAAATCAGCAAGTTTAGTTTAACAAAGACAGAAAACTCTGTAGTCATAAAAAGTAGATATTTTTCTTCTCAGCCAACACAAGATCTTGATAATAAAAGTTCGAATGAATATGGATCTGAAGATATTACTAAAATTGAAGCAATCTCATTAGACGACGATGAAAATGATTCCAATAAACCTGTACATTCCCAATTTGAAATAACAAATACTAGACAAGTAAGCAGCCAATCTCAAATAATAAATTTAACTGAAGATGATGATAACAAGAAGCAACCTTTACGTTCTTTGTCACAGCCTTGTACATCTAAGGTAGTACAAATTATATACATAAGTAAATTGAACTATGACTTTAATAATTTATTTTACAGAGTATACTGGATAATAAACGAAAACGATTAGGTCCTTGTAGGACGTTAGGTTTAAAGAGAGTAAAGCCTGAAAATCAACCTACTCTTCACAATTTCTTTAAAAATTTAAATACTCGTAAATAATGTGTTCTGTTTATAAAATTTATTTATATTTTCTTATTACATGCTTTAATTTTTATACAATTTGTTTCATAATTATAACTCTACCTCAAATTATTATACATTCTCGGTTAGTTTGTAAGAATTTGATTTCTCCCTATAACAATTATAGTATAAATACAATATTTAATATCATTCTAAAGTGTGACCTACCGAATGGAATGAGTTAAACAAAGATTGTTAATTATTACACATTAATTACATATTAAAAGTTCAAATTGATATTTACAAGTTTCGGAAACAGCAATGTTCTAAAAATGGAACTTTTATGTAAAACTTTAGGTTTATCTATGTGTGCAACTTTATCTCTAACTTCAGACCTAGACAGATCGCCTCTCAAATTAAGTAACCTAAGAAGATGATCGTCTGTGATATCTGGATATTTCTCAACAACCCTGTGAAGCTCGAATGACAGCATATCATCATCGCTCTTTAAAACTTCCGAAAGCATAATGATCGCTTCGAAAGGATTTTCACATTCAATATCTTTGCTAAGGTTTAGAAACAATCTGTTAAACCTGTTGGCTTCTTCTGATGATTTCTGAGCGGCTTTCATACATTCTTCGTAAGTTTTAAACGATACACGCCGGGAGAGCATGGCTGTGAGGTATTTTCTACCAACACACGTAATTAATTGCTCAGTTAAATATTTATAATTCGCTTCCACTAAGCGGTTGTAATCCTGGAAGTAATCTTCGATAGTCACGTATATTGTATCAGCTGGATTAGAAGTGAACCAATGTGAAGTAAATAATTTGTCAAAATGTTGGTCTAAATCAACAAATAATTCTTCTAAGAGATTATGAACTGCGTCGTTTCTCATTTTCTAAAAACAGTAAAAATTATTATTTCAGTTTATTTTTTATATTGAACAAAAAAAACTCACAATATAAGTCGCTTTTAAAGCTCCAAAATTCCTAGTAAGTTCATGCGAACTGGTATTCGTAACATACTCTTTTTCCAGTTGAGAACCTAATTCAATCAGTTGGGATATATTGTTGATAATTAAGATCATGTATTGTGTAAAATAAACAACCTAAAACAAGCTCAGTTAATTCAATTTCATGTGATGTAAAAAGTTTTACCTGTTTTCTGTCTTCAAAATATTTATTTTTGAATTCAATAATAGCTTCTCTGAAATCATCTGCGAAGATGATAACTTGTTGAATGCTTAAATTTAGTACTTTTATTGTTAATTCTTCACTAAAATTAAGAAAGATTCAAATAAATTTCTATAACAAAACGATTTTGAATGATTAATACCTTATTGTTTTAGCTACTTGCAAATTCTGATCAATCATTTGAAATATAATAATTGGAGCTGGTGTGCGTGAATACGATTCAGAAAATGGTTCTGTATTTGATCTCCATTCCTCTTTTTCTGATTTAAGGGTGTTCTGCATCCATTCTTTGTAATTATTCTCGATATTCTACGAAAAGGTTAGTATAAAATTCAATTCCATTTACTATTATTCAACTTACTTTCATATATTTGCCTTCTAATTCATCTAGCACAGTTTTGGGTAGTAATTCGCGCAAATTTTCTGTAGAAGCTGCAAGATCAGGATGACCCAACATATCTTTTGATTTGTAAGTTCTTAAAACCCAAGAAAGCATGGTAACATATTCGTTTCCTTCAAGTCCATTTTGTATGATTTCTTGTAGCTGCAATAGTTTAACATGTTCTCTCATTGAAAATAAAGTAGGTTCATCCTTACGTGTATGGAAAGACACCGATTGTACATGCGAATGTACCAATCCAATATATTATAGGTTGGTGGAAAGCAAGGAAGACAAAGCGTTTTAACTATCCTGAGATCTTCTAAAATCATCATTCTAATGAGTTCCAAATAACGTATAAGCCAATGTTTGTTATCTTCTCTTTCTTCAACCTGAGTACCCTCAATTTTTGATGACACAGTCTTCTCCAAAATGTTGAATAACATTTCTTTCCACTTTTTTGGACGACCTGGAGGAATGAATCCCGTTTGTTTATGTTGCTTTACAGCTTCCTCGTCTGCTTTTTCTTCTCGTTCTATGATCCTCAGAGCTGTGACGATTACTGTAGGGTCTTTTCTTACTGTATTTAACGTTCTAGATAAAATGAATGTTAGTTGCTTCTCTAACAACTTTGATAAGACCTCCACATCGGCAAAATATGCTTTCAACATCGATTTGTCATGTACCGACTGGTTAGGTAATTTGTGTAATTCGAACAGCAGGTCATCTCTAGAGTTTTCCAAATCCCTTAAACACTAAAAAAATAACTTTAGAAAGAAGTAGTTCTTGTGACTAGCAAGTTACCTGATGTGTATGCAACAATTTTCCTTCATTAATCCAAGCTTTTGTTTTCTCAACACTTTCTGGAACTGTAAAAATGTGCTTAAGATTTTCTTTAGCTGTTACGTACTGTGAATGTCGCATATTTTCGTCTCTAATATCAATCAGCTTTTTGCTAAGTTCAGGAACATCAGAAAACAAATCAGACATTTTCTTCATACTAAAAAAAGATTGGATATGTAATAAAAAATTAAAACATTTTAATAAAAGTATTTACCTATGATTAATTTCACAAACCTCCTCAAGACATTTATGCAACTGAACCAAGCCAGTTCGAACCCCATCAAGTTGTTGCTGCATTGCAGACTTCAACAGTGCTTCGACGGAAGCTTTCTTTCGAACATACCTCTGCTTAATTTGGTCGATTTTCTCCAATTGGCCTGGCCTATTTAATGTGTTAATGACCTTGGCTGTTGCAGAGGCCCTAGCAGCAGCCTCCAATTCTCTCATATTTACCCTTTCTATAAAATATTAAATTATATACTGTATGTAAGTTAATTAATTTTGTAGCTACTTACTTGAAGTCATATTTTTGGTTTTTAAATACTCAAAATGGCTTCATTGTTTTATTGTAAATAAAAAATTAATTACTACGATATTTAGTTTTTTAATAGTTAAAAAAATTTAAATATAAATACACCCCCTTCTAGCCCTTGTCAAGTCGCAGAACAAGTGTCAATGTCTGTCACCTGCCAGTCCTGCCACCAGTTTGACATTGACAGTAGGTTGTCAATATTAACAATGAGGATAAATTTTGTTATGCAACCAAGGTGTAAATAGTGTAATGGAGGTTGCATGTATTTATAATTTCATAAAATTTAACTAATCAATAAATATAAAATTTTAAACAATATTTCTAATGACATTATTTACTTCCTATTAAATAATATACATTAAATGACGTAACGATAGTATTTAATGTGATATCGTTGATAAAATCGTGACGTTTATAATCGATTACGATTCTGTATCGATTGCATTCATTCGTTCTCGGTTATCGTTTCGTGTTTCGTACCATATTACATTTTCTTGTTTCAGTACACTAGTACAGTAGTCAATCAGTTTCAGTTTTCAGTTTGTGTTTAGGTAAGTTTGTGGGGTGTACGGTGTTTTCATTTTAAGTTATGTGGACTCGCACATGTGATTTTAAAGTTCAATGATTTCATTTCTCCGACAATACGTTAGTGTAATTTACAATGATTTTTGTCAGAAACGTTAGGTAAGTGTAGGTTTATTTCAGAAAGTATCTCCATTCTTAAGTGAATTGACAACACGGATGCTGTATCAAATCAACAATCTTGTGCCATTTCGATAAGAATAAGAAAGGACCAAAACAAATTGATGTTTTTTTTGGTTTATAATGATTTCATTGCAGCGTGTTTTGTTGTCAAACTTTTTTTAATTTGCTTAATTGTTATTTGAATGGTTTTTGTTATTGTGGTTAACAATACAACAGCGGTTGTGAACGTTGGGACAAGTAATAAATATATAAATTTTGTATGAATTGATTCGTATTTGTATAGGATATGGTTGATCCTTTTGAAAAACATTTGCTACCTACTAAAAATGTGATTGTTTACCTGCATTTTTTCTGTTGAATTGGACTGGGTATCCTCCTACCCAAAAATTATATAGGTACCAATTTCGAGAAGGTATTTATTAGTTACAGACCTTCTACCACATTCTTCCATAATAAATTACACCAGTGTCATTCTCTCGTATCCAGCACATTTATATTTCAGATTAAAACTTATAAAAACGCTCGTTTCAGATTAGGTTCTCTTCCCATCTGAAGATCAAACAAAACTTTTAAAAGCTCTAATTAACATCGTCAAGAGTATAAAATGTCAAAAACTCTTGAATTAGACCCAGCATTAATACACTTCTGACTTTATATTGGTATTAAAATAGCTCTGGAATTGGGTTAGGTGAGAGAAGCGGTTGTTAAAAATTTTATTCCAAGCATACTACCCGTACTTATTACAGTTTGTTTATGAGTAGACTATATTACAATTTTTAATTACACGTTCACGTCGGGTTCTTCATATTTTCTGGATTTCATTATAACCATCAGTTAGTAATATTTGTTAGTAATCTATTGCTGTAAATCTAAATCATTTGTTTACTTATCAACATTGAAAATTACCGAACTCGAACTGGCAACGCTTATATCCTTATCAAATCTATTATAACTTACTAATTAACAATCGTCTTTTTAGTCATGGGTATACATAATATTTAAAATTATAAATAGGTATGCTTCATTTTGTATTTTACAATGTTCCTGATAAATGTCAAATAAAAATTTAAATACAATAAATATTTATAAATTATATTTACATAAGCACCTAAGGTTGATTAAAATTGTAAAAGCCTTTTTATAGATTCCGACCATGTTTGTTTTGACATTCTTAAATTGAAATATTCGGTACTACATTATTTCTACATTTTATTTTCGACTCATTTAAAGGTAAAATTACTTCGAATCTGAATTAGTAAACTGTTTGTTATGTTGCAGTTGTGACTTCTTCATATCGAAGAATATAAAAAATCTTGAATCACACAAGTTCAAAGTTCACAGTCTTATCGATTAAGTACAATATAATTTTAACGTCGCTAATATAATTATTGGTTATATTTGCATCGAATGTCTGAATTGATATTAATTTATTGTTGACCTCATTTTTCCCTGCAAAGTTTAATGTGACACAAGGTAACCTTCGAAAAGTAAATTTCACTTAATCACATTAACGATTGGCCCTTTCGCTGTCGCGAATCCCGAGGAAGTCGGGAGCCATTCATTTAACGAGTTTTAATTCAAATACAGTTTCAAATGTATACCTACATGTAGCACTATATCATCGTATAATTTTGAAATTTTTATTGAAAACGATTTCTTATCATTGTGTGAATTTTTTAAGTGAGTGTTTGAAAATCTTAGGTAATTTGTGATTTCAGATGTGGTAAGATTTTTTCTACATATCATCATTTTTCTACAAAATTTATCAATTCTTAATCTAAATCTAAGAAGTCCCTAGATACATATATACGCGCTTTTTTTAGGAATACCCAATTAATGACTAACAATTGTAAAACCCCAACCGTAGTTACACATTTAGGTTAGTTGTTTCATCGGCAAATATATAATTAATAAAAAATAACATAACATGCGAGAGGAATCCCTGGTCAGTAATATCTCGAGTTCAAATAAACAATTTATTTTACGATATAAATATTGTGAAACCCGATGTTAATTGGCAATTTTGTTAAAAACCCAGCAAAGCTCGGGCGGTTAGCATCTATGCATAGTGTTCTAAGTGACAGAAAAATTTTAATTTTCTTTGAAATAAATTCTTCGAACGCACAACGATTATTCCACATATACAAGTAAGAAAAAACATGAATAGTTTTATTCAATTTACATGCGTATGTACATATTTATTTTCAAATAGACCTCAAAACATATGGTACAATTATTTATTTATTTAATTTTCGGATTTCACTATCATTTAATTCGATTATTTAGATTTGATTTAATTTTCTTTGTTTAACCAAACGATTCAGATGATTTTGCTGGCAGAAAATATGTAAATAGGTTCAAGGATAAGTTAAAATTTTATCGATGATTTTATATAAGATAGTTACATATAATTATATGTATTTTTAATTGCACATATGTATAAACAAAAAAAGGTTTTACCCAAGTTAACAATCCAATAACTATATATTATGAGAACCAATGTTTCGTAAAGTTAAAGTGTTTAATTATCAGAATTAAACAGTACTTTTGGGTCAAGAATTTTTAGATGTATTATTTTAATTTACTGTGGATATTATCTTTTTTAATTTTTCCTTTTAATTTTGGTTTTATTTATCGAGTACATTATAAATAAACTGATTCTTTTAGTTTATGCGAAGACCTTGCTATTGTATTTCAGTGAGTGTTTTGGCCAATTTGGCCTTGTCTTTTTCGTTTAAAACCCGTTTAAAATTCCACTACAACACCAGAAGTGCTTCATAGCGTAAAAACGTATCGTGCTAGTAATTGTACTTTGTTGCTACCACAGTGCATAAGGAACGCAGAAAAGTAAAGGAAAACCGCCGGTCTGTGCAAATGGACTGGGGTCAAAATCCTTTTTGCGCTATAAGAAAGAATTTATGTCTTAAATTCTAATTCGTTACACGGCTAAATTATGAAGCATGCAACTAGAAAATACTGAAGAAATTCGAGCCGTCTCGCAATGTTTTTGATGCAAAAAAAATTAAAACAAAGAATTCATAACGTTTCAAAGCGCACCTTTTTATTGGTGGCATTTCATTTTGTAGCGGGCGGATTTCACGATGAAACGAGAGCTCCTCGGGACCGATATTTATCTTTGGCAACAATGTGGGTTGGTGGCTTCTCGTATAATTCTTGTCTTTTCCTTTGCGAAGCCTTTGCGATCATCCATTCTGCGATATGTCAAGGTACTTGTAAATAAACAGCGTTCTCCACAATAGCGTCGTTGTTACCAGTCCGATTTTTATCTATTAATTTATTCTAATAAATCCGCTACGTTAAGAAAGTGAGCAGCCTTTTCCAAGAATCATAAAAAATAAATTATTAGTATTAAGAAAATAAAGTAATATGTTGATAATGATTTCGTCTCCTGTTATCATTATCACGTGTTGATATCTACCGTGCACTATTTAGCCTTGTTAAATAAACCATTTAATATCTGCCTATTAATTTCAATCCTAACAGAATTTTAATTTGTAAATGGCCGTAACAAAACCCGCTAAAATAATAATCAGGGTTAACGAGACCAATTATATTGCGTTATTGCGTCATATGTAAACATTTCTAATTATCTTATTAGGTATATTACCGTTATTTAATCAGCTGTTAAATTAGAGGAAATTAGGTAAATATTTTACTTCCCTCGTATTTATGCACTACCTAATATGCAATGCATGAAATTGTAACATCCTTGTCGACGATCGATCGTAAAATTTGGAAATTTCTTCTAAAAGTAGGTAGCTTCAACCGTATTATGAGCAATTTGGGACCGATTAAAATTATTATTACTAAAATTCTGCAATGTAATTTCAATTTTGCCTGCATTTTACCGCATATAATTGAAATTAGAACCGTCGAACTGGCGTTAATGAGACTGTATATGTAATTCAATCATTCACAAGTAATATCAATCATTACATGCGGTTTAACATAATAAACAAGTCTAGAGTTACAAGATATATTTATGAAATAAAAAATAGTATTGATTAAAAGTTATCACAGAAAGTTAGAGTTCCAACTTAACAAAATATGAAATTCTAGTGAAATAATTAACTTTTGATATCGTAATGTATGTGTTTAATCTCATTTAAATTATTTAAAAGAATTTAGATTTACAAATATGTATCTTACGATTGTTTATTTTAATACATTCTATAAACTTGAAAGTATTGTTGCAGTATACTAAAGGATACATTAGTTTAATTTAAATACAAATATTTTTATTAATAAAAAACTGTACCAATTATTGAATCTCAAGATAGGTAGTTGTTTATAAAATTAAATTTTTTTACGTAAGCCAAAATACCTGCTTGGTCAAACATTGTTACGAAAATACCATAGCGCACTTCTATAAATATTTTTAATTTATAAAACAGCTTGCGTTTGACATTTATCGTAAAAATTTATAAACAAATTGCATTGTTATAATAAACACAAATCTGATGGTAAAGGTGTATACAGGACCGACTTTGATGATTTTTTCAGCCCGTCAATTCAGTATGTATTAAAAACGTTCACATTAATTTTCCCATGTTGGTACATTCAGTTATCGCTAACCTAAACATATTGTTATTTCGTTATTGTCTATTGTGACGTCAATGGTGTGAACATGTTATACTTATTAAATTGGGTTTGACCTCCATTATTTCACAAAAAGAGGAATGATAAAAATATACAGTGCAACAGGAATATCTGTAAAATTTGCGCGACATTCTATATAATGATAAATAAATTGTGTAAACCATTGCACAACGTATTTAGTGTTATTTTTATCATACAGTAGGGGGACTAGAACTGTTATTTTTTGTATATTAATTACACCACTTTAAACTACATGGAATACTACTATTAACTTAGCTTCATATTTTAATACACTGTCCTGTTCGTAAGTACATAAACCTAACCTTGTAATGTGGACGAATAATTACTAATAGTCACGAGAATGGGATAGTAAACCCTACCTCTCGTTGTAAAAATACAGTTGAAAATAGATGTATAGAATTCTTAATTTCCTACTAGCCTCTCTCCTTGAAGCAAAATCTATAACTGGCTCTCTCAGTGCAAACATTTATAACAAACTTAGTACAGAGACTTCTTCAATCCACCAAAAGTGTTGCAGTAATATTGGTGCATTTCAAAATTTATGTGTTAATAATTTTTGGAGCATACGGTTATTTTTCATCTATTCCGAACCTGCATCTATAACTTTTATACGTTTCATACACTAGTTTCTGACCTCTATCTAAATCTTACCTGAAAGCATTTCTTGAGGCAATAGAAATTCGACTGATACTCCTACATTAAATCAAAGTAAAAATATGTGATGAATTCGAAATCGTAAAAATAAAGCGGTTTGTTATTTAAAAATAGACGAAAATGTTGCGTGTAAATGCCATCTTTTGAAATATGCCGATGTATTTTACAATGTGTAAAGTCACGTTTACTTGGAGGCGTAACGACCGCTGAACGCATTCGAATGGCGTTTTCGCATTGTAAAATCGAAGCTGTAAATTATTTTCATCTGCATGTTACAGGGAATACGAGCTGGTTAATAACTAAAAATTTTCCGACATATTAACGATTCGATACGTGGAAAGATTTGGATGTGATGATCGATATTTAACTTTCCAATTAACGCAATTTGTATTTTTCCAGATCAATTTAATACAATGCTTTATAATAATAATGAAATAGTAGAGACTAATTGAATATTTTATGCGTTACTGATAAGGTCCAATAAGTGAAGAGATCGACATTGATGGATAGATAATAGAGCAGTATAGACTTAAAAATGGTTTTAAATAATATAAATACATGATTATTATTATCGAAAGAATTAAAAACAACTGGTTTCACTTTGATATTTATTTCATTAATTTCGTGTAGTGCAGCTGTAAATGTATTGTGTGCATTTTCTGTGCGAGATATTGCTGCCGTGCCAGTGAACTATTTGTGTCAAATCTACCTTACTGTACTGTGACGTACATATAATAAAGAGGAAATACAGGTACCTGTTCACCATAGCTCTGAACCTTTTTCAGAAATTTGCTTATCATGACATGAGTCATGTATCTAATGGTAAATTCATATCGACGTGACATCCATCTTATTGTTAGCTATTCCATTAGATTAAATTATATTGATAGATAGGCGTAAAGTTTATTAATTAGCGTTAATGAGATAACGAAAAGTCCCGTTTATTGTAAACGGTGTAAAAATCCATATATTGCAACACTCTGTTTGTACAAACACATCAACTGTAAAATACCGTAATAATGTCGAAAGTAAAGAACAGATTCTACTGATATAATCACCAAATAAGCATGTTAATTATACTTAAACAATGTAAAAAATGTGTTATCAGTCGCAATTCGTTTACCACTTTCAGGTAACAATAGTTACCAATATTCATTTTATATTCCACAAATTCGTATTTTCTGCGTATTTTATATACCATTCGTGTATTGATATAAAAATTAATTTGAACTTGAATTGAGGCTAGTGTAAAATTATCGGTTGTTTCGGTACCTACGTCGACAGATATTAAATTACTGAATGAAAAGCAATAACAGAAACGCTCCAATTAGACGGCGAATGTGAATTTCAGGAAATACAATGGGCCCCGTAATAATTATTGCGGTCGTAGCTCGGTATGAAGTTCTCTAATGAGCATTTGTAGCTCCAGTTGGAATTCACGTGAACTCTGTTAAACTGATTAATTTTCATAAACTAATACTAAATCAAATGGTAATGGTAGGTCTTTTCAGAAGTTATAGGAATGAACTTAATCCAAAAGTTCTAGCATTCAAATTGTTCAGGAGTTAAATTAATATTTTCTATTACTATATTTTTTCTTCTAAAAAAGAAAACGATCGTATATTTGTTATAACAATTTAAATAGAAACAATGATTTTGACAAGGAATCTATTCATGTATAAAAAGATACGCTTTCACTGGAGGAATATTGAGCGAATTTTTGTTGAATAATGTTTAATTAATTGCTCTACTAAATTACTAAGCAATTATTTCGAACACCTATTATCGCAATAATTGTTTATTATTAAACGAATAATAAGTAATCCTAAACCTAAAGAGCGAGGTTTTATTCATAATTTTTTTCTACGCGTTTAGCAAACTACAAAGGACTAAAAAAATATTCCATCGATCGTCGACGATCATTGATGAAAGTCGAAGGTGATTTTAAAAGTGCAGTGGAAGTATTTGATAATCAGATTTTGTTCTCTGCTTCTCTCCCTTCTTTCTTTCTTTATTTCTTTCCTTCTTTCTGGTCTCGAGTAAAGTTCTTTTGAGACATGAACTTGCGAACAATTTCGTTTTATTTCCGAGAAATGTTATCTGTGTCAAAACTACTAGTGTCACTTCTGTATTAAAAAAACCGCTTATACAGCCTTATTCGTTCCAAGAAGTTAGTAAAATATTTTGTTTCTTGCTTAAGAAAGTTTATATTTTCCATGTATTATAGATCACATTTTATCAGTATGAATTTCAGTATGATTTCCTCCATCCCTTGTTTATTTATTGTTATCTTGTAACAACAATGTTGTTTTATAACTATTTATATTCCGTGTTTTCAACTTAACTTTCTACTTCATTTTGTACGCATACGACAATATTTTTACCATAAAATTGGCATAAAATTAAGAAATAGGTATTGTTTATTGTTAATATAGATAAAGTAATGTGTGGTTCAGTCATTGTTTTCATTGTTTATTTGGTTTTGTTATCATATAATTGGTGCCATTACATGTGTTGCTAAAACATTAACAATATAATACCTAAACAGAATATGGATTCGTTTTCCGTAATAGATTATTGTACCTCGTTTATCACTAATAAAGTTTTGTAATTGGAAAATAATGATAAATATTGGAAACCCAATGGGATGACTGAAAAGACATAAGATAAATTAAAAAAAATATTTAAATAGGAAGTCCGTTTTAATTTAAAAGTCAAGTGATTAAATATCGAGTAATGTGAGTTTGGGGAAAATGCAGTTTCATGCTCTTATTATCAAAAAAAAGTTGTAAGGAAAATAACGGCTTTTATAGAAATCAAAATCTGAAAAAGCTTACATATTCTAAGTACCGTTTGGTAAATTTCACCCGGCAATTTCCGATGATTGCAATTGCAAAAATTGTTTGAAACAATGTCGTTGATCAAGTGTCGGTAATTTTCGAGCCGATAGGTTTGGCGGATGTTTAATTAAACGTCAATGTAACTCGACTTCAATAATTCTCGTGTTTGGTTTGTTGACGAAATGGCTCTGCGATCGTTTGATAATTGGAAATTGCGTCGTTGCGACCTTTGAAGAACGAAAGACAACAAATTAACGGCGCGTTTATGAGGCACATCAATGGATTTCTGGCGCGCTACAAATAGGGCGTCGATGATATCTCCGGATTGGTTTCTTTTTAATTAACTTTGTATTAACAGGCGCTTACGTTTTGTATATTTATCTTCGCAGGTTTACACGATCATACTTACGATTTCGGTGCTTTTAATCAAATAAGACGTATTTTATATTCGAAAGTATTTAACGATTAATTCGAGAACATTATTCATAATGAATGAAATTTCACGAGCAAACAATACGAGACGTTTTATAACCTTGGGGTGCTTATTTTCGTCTACAAGTTTTACATCTGCCTTCAATCAGTTCTTAATAACTACTTCGGAATTTTTTTATTTGTGCTAGATTGTCGGTTAGATTTTAAACAAACCTCTCTAAACGTCTGGTGCAAAAATTACTTTTGGTTTAATGTGTGGGCAATGATTCATCAAAAAATGGGAAACATCAAAAGATATTATTCTAACTTTACTTTTGTTTAAAAAGTTAAAAAGAGTCGACGCGTGAAGGTTAATCGCGTTGACGCAATTTAATTCTCAAATTTTACACCTTTTTTTTGGAGCATGAAGAAACGAAAGAGCTACTCGAAATTTTTCGTTTTGTTTCACTTGATCGCCTTATACTCTCTAAAAGAACTGTTTCGACAAATTCGTTTCGAAAATTATTAGGACAAGAGTTTTGAATAAATTAGCCAGTCATTTGTGCAACCAACCGAATTTCGTTTGTAAGGAAGAACTCAAAGTTAGCGCAATGAATGCAATTGCATTTAAATCGTTCTGGTATTTTATTACTTATTGTTTTAGGTTTTCCACTAGAGATCCCCATTTTTATGTCGTATCTTATCATGGTACTCATTTGCTTTTATCTATTTTGTTTCTGCTTGACCATTATTCACTGCTTCCTACGATTTCAAAATTTGAAACTAAATTCAAAATACAAAAGTACTAGATTTTAACCTTTACGGTTTTACTAATATAATAAATGGATATAATAATTTTCCAAAGTGAGGCAGAATGCCTATATCTACCATTAATGAATTCCTAAACAAACTACATAATTGGAAATAATTGAACCGCAAGTCTAAAAATAACGGCATTTTAATAATTAGTAGGCATATAACTCCTCATATCCAGAATCTTTCCCAAGTTAATCGTGCTCTATTGATTAGATATTTAGAAAAGATTCGAGTCTCGATAGGTATTTTTAAAAGTCTGTATGAGGCACTTATCTCTCGATTTTCATGTAAATTTTTTATCTGAATCGATGCAGGCGTATTCACGATGAAGGTGTAATTTGGCCTAATTTATCTCGGCCGTTACAAGGATAATGGCTGTTTTATCAATAGGATTGATGCGTGATGCTGCCTCGAATGTGCTGATAAGTGAATTGAAAAGGCAATTTTTCTCATTTTTTTTTCTGTATTCTGGAAATGATAAAATCTATATTGGTAACGATAATGGTTCGCTGAGACGTATGTAGGCATTTATTCGAAAAACTCATTAAATGAAAATATTAAACTAGTAATTTTTTATCCTCATTATTTTTTAAATAAACGATTAAAGGTTGATAGTTACAAATAATTGTGCCATTATGATAATTATGTGAATAAGTTTTTTTATTGAATAATTTCGATTGCACTCTCATTTCTATTATCGTCCACTTTAGAAGCAATCGCAAATTTTTGAAATGATTTTATTTTCGAATGTACACTAATTTACATACATACATTATTATTCTTGTTTTTGTCGTGTTATATGGTAATACGTAAAAACCATTTACGTATTCTTCGACATGTAAAATAGGTGGAAAAACTGTTCCAAAGATCTGTTTATTTAAACGTTTATCTTCTACAGTTTAATTTTAATTAACACCTATCTCGCAAAGTGATTTCAAATATAACTATGGTGAGTTGCTTTAGTACGATATAATCGTTTTTTCGAAACGAAACTTCATTTTATTGCTTTACTAATCAACACGAGTAAGTCTCCATCCAATTAACAATTAATTTACCGCTAATTAAAGTGTTTTTTAATTTGTTTACCGATACATAAATATTCTATTACCGATGCCATATTTTGCTTAAAGAAGTTAATGCATATTTGTAATACCTAATGGTACAATTAGTTAAATATAAATACAAAGTTTATGTAATATATTACATTAAAAACCTAATTACAATTTTGATTAATTAGGATAATTTATTACATCGTTATAAAGAACATTTAATAGTACAAAAAATAGTATAATTAACCACAAATAAAAACCATTATACATACTATAAATTGATAATACATTAAATTGAACGCAGTTTTTCATTAATTTTGATATTCCAATATCTTATTGTGGTTTTGTTTCAGATTAATTTCCTAATCTAATATCATTTATAATTTGGCGTAGATCAAAATTAAACGAAGGCGGTTGAATAGCTGTCTTACTGGAAGCAGATAATGAAGGAAATTTATTTTTGTATTGCTATACTGTTTTGCAACTTGAAATTTACGAAAGCACATTATACTCAACAGTGGGCGGTGCACATCCAGGGTGGCAAAGAAGTAGCCGAGGCTGTAGCTAGGGACCATGGTTTCACCAACCATGGCTTGGTAAATCTTCCAATTCCTTAATTTTCAACCAACTAATTTAACGATTGCTTTTAGATATTCGACGATCATTATCATTTTTCCCATAGTGATGTAGTCAAGCGGTCGTTGAGACCAAATGTAGAAAAGCGGGAGAAACTCGCAGTTGATACTAGAGTTAGTTGGGCTCAACAACAAAGGGCTAAGAGGAGAGTGAAAAGAGACTTAAAAGTACAAGATAGTGATCCAAAATGGCCCTATATGTGGTATTTAGTAAGTACAAATTCTAATACACCGTCGTACGATATTTTAACATTCAAATTATTTAGAACCGAGGAGGTGGTCTTGACATGAATGTCATACCAGCTTGGATGGAAGGCATTACGGGTAAAGGAGCTGTGGTAACAATTTTAGACGACGGATTGGAAAAAGACCATCCAGATCTTCTACAAAATTATGTAAGTCGTAAACTTACAAACTTACTAAACACTTTTTATATTTGATGTTTCCTTTAGGACCCTATGGCTTCCTACGATGTAAACGGACAAGACTCGGATCCCAGTCCACGATATGATATGATTGATTCAAACAGACATGGCACAAGATGCGCCGGAGAAGTGGCCGCGACCAGCAACAACTCCGTGTGTGCTCTTGGAGTTGCACACGGGGCTCAAGTAGGAGGTGTCAGGATGTTAGATGGTGAAGTTACCGATGCCGTTGAAGCCAGATCGCTCAGCTTGAATCCGCATCACATAGATATTTACAGCGCTTCATGGGGCCCCGATGATGATGGAAAAACTGTTGACGGACCAGGAGAACTCGCTATGCGGGCTTTTATCGAAGGAGTCACAAAGGTAGGTAAAAGTGTTATGGTTTTGATTCGGTTTATAATGGTATAAAATCACTAGGGTCGCAACGGTAAGGGTTCTATTTTCGTCTGGGCGTCTGGAAATGGCGGCCGAGATCACGATAACTGCAATTGCGATGGTTACACCAATTCCATCTACACCTTGTCAATTTCAAGTGTCACCGAAAACGGTCATGTGCCTTGGTATAGTGAAGCTTGCAGTTCCACTTTAGCCTCAACCTACAGCAGTGGATCAGTTGGCGAAAAACAAGTAGTAAGTGTATACTGCTCTTGTAAAATACTAATTTTTTATAACAAAATTCTATTTATTCTAAGATTACAACGGATTTGAAGCACTCTTGTACGAGCAGCCATACAGGAACGAGTGCCTCGGCACCCCTGGCAGCTGGAATTTGCGCTCTAGCCCTCGAAGCTAATCCGAATCTTACTTGGAGGGACATGCAGCACATTGTGGTGAGGACTGCGCGCCCGCACAATATAGTTACAGGCGATTGGCAAACCAACGGCGTCGGCAGGCGCGTATCCCACAGCTTCGGCTACGGCTTAATGGACGCCTATGCCATGGTGCAATTGGCGAAAAATTGGACGACGGTCCCCGAACAGCACAAATGCGAGGTGACCGCACAATTGGTGCCTAAGTAAGCAACAACTCGCAAGCTATCTGCGTTTCTTATTGATTTATTGTTCATTTATTTCCAGGCATATTCCACCGAAAAGCATGATAACTCTTCAACTGCAAGTCAAAGAGTGCGTCGGCGTCGATGTATTGGAGCACGTGCAGGCGAAATTAACGATATTTTCACAGAGAAGGGGCGATTTGAAAATACAATTAACATCTCCATTGGGAACTAAAGTTGTGTTATTGGCTAATCGACCCCATGATAACTCCAGGGGAGGTTTTAACGTATGGCCTTTTATGTCGGTGCACTCGTGGGGCGAATCGCCTTATGGAACTTGGCAGCTAGACATCCACAATGACGGAAGATTGTTAGGTAAGTTTTGTGTTTGATTAAGGAGAGTATACATGTTGTTTGTTTGCTAATATGGAATTAATACTCATATTCTAACAAGTCTTCACCCTGTGTTTGAAAAATGTAGCTATCCATAAGGTGACCGTAAAGTTATGGAACTTTTGGAAGGGTGTTTATATTAATTAACCTCGACGTTTCTAGGGTCGCATTGCTTTATACTAAACTACTAACCCCACTAACACGGTATTGATTTTCAGGAAGAGCTTCGCTACAAAACTGGACACTCGTTTTGTACGGAACGAGATACTTCGTGCCCAGTTTAACAAACGAAAAGACTAACAAACACAAATCGGGTACTATTCGACGGAAAAATAAAAAGCACAAAAATAAAAATACGAAAAAGTGGAATTCGACTACGAGATCGCCGCCTATGCGAGTACCGGCGAAGAACTCCACGAATAATAACGCGTCAAAAAATAAAAAACCTTCTGTGTCGAGTAGCGACGTGTCCCCGTATTTCTACGCGGTATCGAATTATAACAATAACAGAATCCGATTGGACCAAAACAGCGTAAAGCAATACTTAAAGTTCGTTAAGAACATCACCATCACGTACCCGGTGATGATCCCCGCGCGGAGTTTCGTCAAAAACACCAATCAGAAAAAAACGCAAAAATTGAAAGAGAAAAGCCGCGACATTAACTCGAACCGCAATCTGAAATTAGTCCTAAATAAAGCTAACGGCACGACGATCGCTCCCGTCGTCACCGCTACAGAAACCGTGTTGGCTGCGAAATCTACGCAGTCCACCCGAAAGGATCTTACCGGTAATTTTCGTGCATGGCGTTTTTGGTTTCGTTTTGCGTTCATAGGTAGCATTTATTATTTTTACGCACAAATATTCATTTTTTGTATATTTGTGTGATTACTTACTTATTCACGTTAGTAAAATAGTTTTGTAATTTTGTTTGTACATATTGAATAGTTTAAATGGTTTATTAACGATTAAAATATTGGTCTTCCTCGCGACTTTTAAAGCTTGTTGTTAGTATCAGTTTCGATATTTATAGCGGTGTAATTACCGTGTAAACCATTTATGATATTTTTGTTTTGTCTCGAAAACATTACTTTCACTCACTTTTAGTGTGTTCTTATATTTTTGGGTTTCCTTATTTGCATGTCCTACTTAGTTTTACCGGTATAATATTTCAGATAACTCAAGGCTTATCGGCCTTTCATGCGACGATTTAATCATTTTAAAATACTGTTCTGTTTACAGGCGAAGTAAAATCTTGGCAATTAACCCTTTACGGTACGTCCACACCGCCAGCTTACGACTTGCAAGGCAAAGCTGTTAGTACGAATACAATACCTGATACTATTAGTGATGACATTTTGCTCAATTCGATATACGATTCGTCTTCAAATTGGGAAAGCGGAGCAGAAGTAAGAGATTTGCTTATATTGTACTATTTGTGAAATATGTATCTTGATTGTGATGTTAGGTTGAAAACTTCCCGTACGCCTGAAATGTGTTGTTTTGTTTCAGAATCGTAAGGACATTTTAGAAGTCGAAGAGAAGGAAACGTCGGGTTGCTCTCGATATAACGGCAATTTATGTTTAGGTTCGTTATGTTTTATTTTGATATTGTATTTTTACTCATTGAATTTTCACGACATTTTATCCACTTTACTAACTGCCATTTCGCTAATAACGGAATGTAATAAATTAATCGTGTTACAGATGACGAATTTTAGCAATTTTTTTAAATTTTCTGACAACAATTTTCACATATATATTGCATCACCGATGATATTTTTGTTTTTAGTAAAATTTAAAAGATCCGTAGGTGCTTCAAATAATTTTTACACTACAGACAGAAGGTTGTACAGAAATAATCGATGTTTGATTTATTCGAAATAGGTTACTTTATTTTCTTAGCTATACCTAATTGACTACAGTGATGATATTTCAATTTACTAATTTATTTATAGATCCTCGAATTCATAAATGTGTTCTTGTGTACAGTATTGTAAGATTTGGCCGCGCTATACTATTTTATTCTAATTTTTTACTTATATTCTACCTATTTTTGAAATAGATGAAATTATAATTTCATTAATGACAACATAGAACTATCAAGTATCACTGATTTAATTAACAGTGCGCAAAAACGTTTGTCGTTCATAATTACTTTTAATTATTTTCACACAAACCTGTAAATATACTTTCCAGCTGTTGTTTTTAATTGGCACATTAATTGGACATTCAATTAATGTCTCTTACTCGAAATAGTTCCTTTGTTATTTTGACGAATGAATAACTTTTTAAAATATCTATTTTCTTAATCATTTCTTTTTAATTTTTAACGACATTTTACAATAATATAATTATATACTTAATTCATAACTGTTAAAAAGGCTTCCATGTTTAGATAATTTTATATTGGCCATTTCTTGAGTTCCATTACTGTACCTGATAAAATAGTTACTTAAACTTTGTTAAACAATTCAGAATATTTATTTTTATTTAATTATTTAATTGTTTTTATTGAAGTTATAGTATTAAAAGCAACAACCACGAAGTATAACCGTATACTTCACTGCCATTTTACTTAAACGAGTAAATTCTATAACCGGCCAGTCGTATTCCTATTTTTTGCTCTCGAATAAATCTTACTGCAAATTCACCTGGTAGGTTATACGCAATATTGTAATCTAGTGGTTATTAATTTTAGCAATAAATCGGGAAAATGTTCAAATGAAATAAACAAAAATTCGAATAAACGGAACGTGCCTTTGGTTATTAATAGACCTAAGTTTTTCGTTTAAATTACTTCGGCGAAGGCGATGTAGGTATGTAAATATCGAATCTATAATTGTAAAAATGAATTTGTGAGGAATAGGAATTACGTTCTTTTTCATCGCATTGCTGGATCAGTTTAGAAATTTACGAAATACAATGTTCATTAGGTAACCCATAAAAGGCCCAGTGCATTTTAAGGATTCTCTTTATTTGCCAATCTTTCCAAATTCGTGCCAAATAAAATTAATTTCATTAGTATTAAATTAATGATTTTCAAATTTGCAGTTAAAGTGCAATTATCCTGTGTATCAAATTAATGTTGTAATCAAAATGTTTTCTTAATTATCTAAATATCAATTATTTCTAAGTGTACAGATTTTATGTAAGGTATAATGTTTACTGTGATTGTTTTTTTGTATATAACTTAAGAGACTTGTTTTATTTTATGTTATATATATTTATTATATATATACACTTACAAGTAGTTCCTGAAATATGTTAACCATTAATTTTAAGCAGCATAAGATCTGGGAAATATTGACATGTTTTCTAGTAAATTAAGTTTCAACTTAATAGAATACACTATTTATTAAAAATAATTAATGGTTGAATTCAAATCTAATATTACCAATATTTTAATAATATTTTAAAATTTCTCATTAAATCAAGCGAATAGAATGCTATATTAGTTATGAATTACGGTGAAAATAACAACATTCTTTACAGGCTTAAGTTAGAAAAGTTTAACAACTTAATAATGAAAATTAAATAGTGCTTTATTTTGTATGTATTGGAAAATATAAAGTTTCGTCCATCTTAAATGAGCCTAATATCCATTGACATTTACATTATACCATGACATTAACATTGAATATTCGCTTTAAAAATGCTTTTAAACTTTAAGCTTCGAAACTTTTATCGCACAAACTACAACCATTTTTTCTATAAAAAGTGTATTCATTAAGTTCTCCTCTAAAATTTAAACTAATTTATTTCTAGTTATCAAAATTGGACAAACTTAGCTAATCATTTTTGCTTGTCAGTTTAAATTTTCGAGGCTCGTAGTCGGCCTTTGCGGCGCCGAATGTGCATGTCAAGTCGTGTTAATACGTGTATTTGTGTTTCTTGCGGTCGCTGGCCTAAAAAAATTCATTTTGTAAAACCATCACATTTTATTCGAAACATCTTCACAGTTTCGCTGAAATGCGCGCTAGTTTGGTACGACTTCACAGTGCTAGTCAGAAATCAGTCGAAAGTTGGCCGTTTCAAAACCCTTTCACAATATATTAAATTTATCGAGCCGTGAATTAAGATTAACTTATGTTTGAAATAAAACTGGAACTATTCCACAGTGGTTTATTTCTGATGGGTTCAACACGTTTAACGCTTCATTGCAACCTTTATATGCCTTAAATATTCTTATTTGTGACGAGTTTTTTTTGAGCCAACGTTTTGTCTTTCCCTGTATGTCTTCCTATTTAAAGCTTTATGCATATCGACAGCTGAAGTTACCAAACTAAATGGCATTGTATCTAATAATATAAATAAAAGATTGTGTAAATAATATTTGTAATCTATACAAAATAAATTATAAATTGTGGCAAGAATTCGAACAAATTTGATTTTCCATTCCTGTTGAGTCGCTGAAAGTCAAGCAGTGTTTCAGATGTGGAATTTTTGTTTTAAATTAAGAGAATGGTAAGTTGATATCTATCCGTTCTGCATGTTAATGTTATGGATTTGTGCAAAAATTGTTGTCAGATTTGTGATTTTTTTTTATTTATCTGTAACTTTTAATTTGTATATACATATAGCATTAGTTTTAACACGTAAAAAACATTCTGCTTACCTTTTTTACTTACAGATTTTAAATTAATATTTACTGCATAGATATTTGTGTAATTTATTCCCGTATTTCGTGTCATTTGAAACTTACACCATCGTTTTCACATTGCACAAAGATGACAACAACTAATTCTCATAAGAAACTAAAAAAAGCCTAGTTATACAGATAAGTGCGAAAGTGTACGCAATATGGTCTATTGTTCCAACAAAGATAACTTCCATTAGTCTCATATAAAGGAAATAGAAACAGTGATATTGTGGCATTGTAACTTTCTTACTCTAACTACTGTTATTTTAATAATCAAGTGATATTAACCATATTGCAAACAAATTTGCACTTACCCATATACACTTTACATTAGCAAAGGTTTTAATTAAACCATTAGAGCGTTTTCATACGGAGCAATATATTGCAGCAATAAATTGCTGTAGTTAAAATACTTAAGTTATTAAGACTTGCGTTATTAAGAGCGCACACTAAGAGCGTTTTCACACGGTGCGATATAATGCAGCAATTTATTGTTGCAATATTGCATTTTTTTTAACGGTTGTATAAAAAGTAAAAAGCAATAAATGCTCTTAGAGCGTTTTCACACGGTGCCATATATTGCAGCAATTCCAATATTGCATTGCAGTTAAAATACAAGCGTTCAAATGCGTAGTTTTCACACATATGCAATAGGATAATTTTTATTAAAGCTTGTATAAATAGTTTAAAGCAATATTGGAACAATAAATTGCTGCAATATATCGCACCGTGTAAAAACTCTTTAACGCTTTTATAAAAACTACAATGCACTATAGCAGTGATCTAAAAAAAATATCAATTAATAATATATTGCACCGTGTGAAAACGCTCTAACTCGAGTGGTAAATGCGTTATTTTTATCTTGTGTCCAAAAATGAATCGCTTTTAGGTATGCAATAAAACACATTTAAATTATTATTTTAAAACGTAAACTCCCTTTTGCACTTCATACAGCTGGTGTGAATAATAATTAATTCAGTTTTCAGTAAATTTCATTAGTTAATGGAATTAGTTTAATATAAATGAACACGGTTAAGGGCATAACATAAAATCGATTGGCACAGCTTATTTAAATTTATAGGTTAATGTATTAAACTGAATCCTGCTGTCGATAAGTTTGAATCATTTTTGGACAAATTAATTGAATAATACCACCCAAATATTACAGATTTTATTTTATTTTTTTTTTGTAAACATGACTCGTTTATTTCAGAATGTTTACCAAACTACCAGTTACATAAAGGAATTTGCATACCATCATGCCCAGACAAATTCTACAACAATTTATTGGATTTAGGTGACGCATCGGTAGAGAGCCTTTCCGGTAATCAGACATGCTCACCGTGTCATTACACCTGCAAAAATTGTAAAGGGTCTTTAGATTCCGATTGCTTGGGGTGTTTTGGCGATGCTAAATTGGTACAGTTATCCGATGAGTCCTATTGTTATCCTATTCATTTGATTCCTGACATAAACACGGAAATATGGTATTACCGGTTTTTCGTTATCCTGTGCATTGCACTACTCAGCCTGACAACAGCAGTGATTTTTTATTGTTTTTGCGTTAAAAATAAAAAATCAGATTACAGGAAAGTAAACTGTGACATTGTTGCTCATCAAATTGGAGGAATTGAAAATGACATGAAATCAAATATTTATACCGATAACTATTGATTGTAGTAATGGTTGACCAACGGGACGAAAATGGCACCAAATTTATTCAAATTATTTAATACATTAGGTATTTGTCATTGAAATTATGAATGCTAGTCCTTTGTTGCCATTTATGCATTGGAAATTGGATAAACTTATAAAATTATTTACATCTATAACAAAATATTTTACACCTATAAGTTCATACCAATCAATGAACTATTTATTATAATTATCTATAATTAGAACACAAGTTTTTTTGTTCTTATACATTCCTATTTTTAGTCAAGTGCACAATTTTATTAGTCTTTGTTTTAATAATTATAATTATGTTTTCTCGTTTCCTATTCACAGCATTGCAGTTGTCATTTCAAAAAGCGTCGTTCTGCGCACTTTTATTGAATTAATATAATTACTGGTTTAGAAAACGAAAACTGTTATAATTCGAACGAAGACGATTAATTGTAGATGAAATGTGATAAAAGCAATTCCAGCTCAATAATTCCATTTATTAGGATAATTTATTAACTAAAAATACGTAATATTTTAAACGAAGAGAAAAATTATGTTTTAAGCGCTGAGAAATGAATTATGTATAATTTTTTATAACTAGTAGTTTGCGTTGAATGTTTATAATTCTCATAGCTTATTATTTGTTTGGTTTTTGATTATAAAATACGTTATATTGAATTGGTTTTGATTTAAACAATATTTAGAGTTATTCAAGCCATTTTATTGTATGATTAACGACATAATTATAATTTCCATTGTTACGTGTATAAGTTTAGATAGGACAGTTTTGTCGATTTTATGTAAATATAAATTAAACAGCGCTTATATAATTTGTTCATATATCCCAGTAAGAAATTCAAAAAAAGTCGGTACTTACATTCGATCCCAAATTCAATGACAATAATCTGTAAAGTGCCTTACTATTGATGTAATTTTAAAATATTTTACAATAAAAAAAATTAATTAAATTTTATTTTTTTGCATTATCCATTTGAGCAATTTCGATTTTTAATACTTCGTTATGTTTCAGTTAAGTATCCCAGGCATTTTTTAATTAACTTCAGTTCTTATAAATTTAATTGCCACTAATATTAAGTGGTATTTTTTAGAAGGTAGTATTTGTTCATGTGAAATGAGTTAGGTATAAAATGAGTACAAAGTTTATTACAACAGACAGTACAGATTTCGCTTATTTGGTAACAGTTTTTAAAAATAATTTTGTTGATTTTGATTTTTATATTTACAAAAATATTTCACTCGAAATTTTAGTTTGTTTCCCTAAAAGATATCAGCCCTAGAGATTTCATAATAATGAAACGAACATCGGCACAAAAAAAATCATAAATAATGGTGAAATAAACTATTCCTGAAAATTACAAGTCGTTTTTGCACTTAAAACTCCGAGTGAAACTACTGGAACAAATAAATATAACTTGACGGATATTTTTGGTTCAGTTTTTATAAATAAAAATTATAAATTATTAACACTTATAATTTGATTAATCCAACCAATGAAAGAAGAAACTTTAACGTAAACACCTGGTACATCTAATCTCCCGCAGCCAAAACCCCAAGAAACAAGTCCCGCCAATTCGTAAAAGCCATCGTCTTGGCATACTAATGGTCCCCCACCGTCACCTTGGCATGCATCGTTCCCTTCTTCACCCCCAGCGCAAAAACTGCTAGCAGGAAGTATGAAAATTTTTTCAGTCACCGCATTTACTTTCCTTATGCATTCAGCGTCGCTTACGATCGGTATTTCGGCTTCTCTAACTCTTAGAGGAATTGGTCCAGCTAAAAATATTAATAGCAATGAAATTAATTTTGATTTATAAGAATATCTAACCTTCTCCCATGTAACCGTATCCAGTTACAGTGCAACGTTTTCCTGCTGCATGACTCACACCTCTAGCTGGTAGACACACAAGGCAGACGCCTTCTTTCAATTCAGCTTGCCCGTGAAGCTTCAAAAGAGCTATATCATTATCCAATGTTTGGCTGTTATGATTGTGGTGTATGTAAGTCGTTGCCACTCTTAGAGTTTGAGCTCCAGGACTGCCGTATTTTCTGGTCAAATCATGGTCACCTACTCTTACGTATATGGCATCACCGGAGCGAACAATACTAAATAATAATCGTGAATTAGAACACATTAATTATTTCAAAGTGTACCTAACGTACTTTGTGACACAATGCGCTGCAGTCAAAACCCACTGAGTCCCAATGAGAGCGGCTCCGCAGAGGTATTGATTCAAGGAGTTAATCAGTGCGACTTGCCAACACCATTCGCCTTGCTGCCCGTCTTCACCACCAACAACTCGGCCTTCTCTGGACGTGCCTTTGACACCGCAAACGTATTTACTGTAGACTGGCGAACGAGATGTCGTTGGAACTACTCTTGACGTTTCAGTCGCTATAAAGCAAATGTATCAAGTAGAAATCTACACTGCTTTTTAGCTATTAACGACTCACTTGATGTCTGAGTTAAAGTTACTGGTGATGTTGTGGTATATTGAACACTTAATGATTGTTGAGTGCTATCTTTTGGAGGTGAATCGTCTTTTTGTCCTAAGGCTTCCTTTATTAAAGACTTGGGAGCGCAGCATTTCGTTCCTGATTTTCTGCATTTGAATATTTCTGTCATTTCAGCATTTCCTACAACGATGAACATAAATTTCTACTGAATAAAACTGAAAAGTTACGTACTGAAACAAGTAAAGCTCAAGTAAGATACTATGCAGGATCCAGGGCACTCCGGTCGGGAGTCCATTGTGGTGGTTGTGGTCGTAGTAGTCGGGTAATGCGGTTTAGGTTTTGGTTTAGGTTGCGATGTAACTGTTCTTGTGTTATCACAACAAACGGATCCTCGTTTACAATTCGACGTATGAGGTATTAGAACGGAAGGCCTTTCACAGAAAGCAGCCATTATATTGAGAAGGCAAAATCCAGGACATATCGGTCCCGGATCGCGCGTCACCGGCCTGGGGGTTGTAGTCGGTCTAGTTGATGTTGGTATTGGTGACGCAGATTTTTCCGGTTCTTCGTTTGACTGAAATTCGAATTTCTAAATTAGTAAATATAATAAATAGTTTTAATTAATCTTACCGATGATTCAGTAATGCAACAGCTATCTCCATTGGCGCATTCGGCCTGAGAATCGATGTCGTCGCAGAACAAAGCGACCAATCCACTAACGCATTCTCCACGACACTCTTTCAAAACTGTCGGTTGAAACGTCGACAACGTTGTCGATTTCCAAACTGTACTCGGTGTCGTACTAAAGGGTTTAGGGGTTGTCCTCGTCTCGATTTTAGTGTGGTTCATTTTGGTTTTGTTCGGGTAAATTAAATTAAGAGGTACTTTATCACCGAAGGTGACACTTGAGACACAACACCTTAAACCAGGTGCGCACAGATTGTCCGTGTTAAGGATGGCTTCGCAATAATTGGCTATGTTCTCGGCAACACACACTCCTTTGTACTCCGTACTGTTGCACTTTCCTGCAAAAAATTATATCAATATCGATTGTTGGACATTGACGAATGAATGTTCTTCGGGATAATGAACAATGTAATAAAATCTTTACCTTGATCGTTCGTTGCCACTGAAGCGTTGTGTTGTTTCTCAGTAGCTATCTGAAAAAGAGATCTATGTAGATTATGCCAACATGTTTTTAAACGTAAATTCAATGAATTGAAATGATTATTAACAAATTTGACATCGATTGTACTAGACTCGGAATTTAATATCCATGCTAAGTTATATATTAGTTGCCATCCCTGTCATAAAATATGATGCAAAATCATTAACAAGCGCAAGTGCCGTCTATTTACATAAACCTGCCATGTTAGCTCTACTATCATATATGCAAATACTATATCGAACCAATCTGATTGAATAATATGAAAGTCATTCAACAAGAATACCACACTCTAAATACCTAATATATCATATATGAATCTACCTAGTTTATCTAAAACCAAATAAGTAGCTAACTATGCGATCACACGTTTTAATTAACAATTTCAGGTTAGTTTGGCTATTCATATATTTACTAATTAAAACTATTAGGTTATTATTAATAAACCAATAAAGTTCGAGTTTCTGTGCATGTGCATTATTAAACTGACGAACTAGAAAATTCGGTTTCATATCCAGATTATTACAACTCGAAGTTATGCGGAATATCGAATTTTATTCGATACTCGGTTTTATTCCTGCATTATTTCCTCGTTCATTAATGATTTCCAGTTGTTAGAATTTTATGTTGCTTCTATAGGTGTAAATCCTGATAAACTTAAAGGTAAGTACTTACATAATTAGAAATAGTTGTACTAGGCGGCACAGTCGTTGTTGTTATAGTACTAATTGTTGTTATTTGGGGTGTCGTTGTTTCCGTCTTGGTCGTTGTTTCTATTAGTGTTGTTGCATTTTGAGCTGGGGAGTCTATACAGCATTTCATTGATGGTGATGGGCAGGTTACATCTTCTAGAACTCCGTAGCAAATTATAGTTGCTAAGGCGTGTACACAAACGCCTGGACAGTCTTTTGAATCAGCAGTACTAGTTATGGTGTCCAGTAGCCCTGTGAATCGTTAAAATTATTTATTGCAACAAGAAGTCTAACCAAGTTATTTAAAGATAATAAAAAATAATATAGGCTCTATCAATTTACTGAATGTGCGATGTATTTTTGCTTTTAATTGATTGCCCAAGTGACTTTTGATGTTAATACAAAGCGAAATTATATTGGTAACATTTTTTGAAAAGCTTTTATGGTTAAATGAAATATTCATCAATGTTTCGCGTTATATCCGAAAGACCTACATAGCATACACTGTTGATGGTGCATAATTTTCGAATAGGAAGTTAAAAATACGAGCAATATCTCCTCGTTACAAAGTTTCATGCTCACAATGTTTAAAATAATGTGGCCCAAAATTCCCGTTATGAATAGTTCGAGTTGAAATAAGTGCACAAAAGGCGATATTTAAGGCTATAAAGGCGATAAATTCATTAACTTCTGACAGTTTAAGGCAGTTTGTGTCGAGAAAATCGAAATTATATTAAAAAAGGAATCAATAAGCAGGCATATGTATACCTATTATACTGAATTTTCAATAATAACAGAACCCAGTAATATTTAATACGAAAAAAAATATACAGATATTTTATTATAAAAGAATTAAGGATTGGGTAAAATTTTTTTATAAGGTAGAAAAAACTCAAATTCACCTATTATTTTTCCCCATGGAATAATATACAGGGTATCCTCGAACTTATGGCACTAAATTTTAGAAATTAGAAATAAATGAAAAGAGCGAATACAACCCTGACCTTCAAATAGGCTGAATCAGAATTTTAACTCAAAAAACAGACGCGGTGTATTTATCAGCAAGCGCAAATTTCCCCCTCCGCCCTCCAGTTTTCGAAAAACGTTACCGATAACGATTGTTTTCTAGTGCGTAGTAAAATAGTGTAAAATAGATTTTTGTGATTAGACTTTAGTGATTTATTTGATTGTTTTAATTCTTAGTGTTCTTCGCAGTTTAATTAGTTCTTATGTTAGTGGTGTTCTGAAACAATTAATTGCAAAATTGGCAATACTATAACAAGCGTTCAATGGGATTATTAATAAACAATCGTGATGAACTTCAATATTTTTCAACAACAAAATAGGTGAGTTAATATTTCTTTCGAGTTCATTTATTTTAAGTTTATTTTCTATTGTTTCTATTTGAAAATCCCGATTTACTTTAATAACTTATCCATGATTCTAAAAATTTGGAGATCATATAGAATAAATAAGTAATAAACAAATTCAAATAAAATTCTTAATTTATAAATCATTATTTTGTCGATATTAACCGATGGTGAACGCGATCTATCGCGCGGTTGAGGGGTTTCAAGCGATGTACAGGACCGCATTTCGTAGAAATATTTCTAATATTTTAAAATTTGTTTATTATAATTTAAAAAAAATGAAATCTGCGAATCGGTCTTAAATTATGCAAACTACCACCCCTAAATTTTAGTGCCATAAGTTTTAGAACACCCTGCATGTATGTATTTCAGTAAGGGAATTCCCAAAATAGTTGACTTATGCGACTATGGGTCACATCTATGCGTTCGTCTGGATTTTAGGAATGAATGAGGCTTTCAAGAGCTTATGGTCCCTTCAGTGTCACACGCGATATTATTTCAAAATATACTGCGGAATATGAAGCGTTTCTTGTCCTATATGATGAGAAATATCTGTATAATTTAGTGGAGTGTGGAAGGCATTCTAATTTCCAAATGTTTTCACAGTAATGAATGTCACATTTGAAACTGTCTGAGTTAATACGTACATTCAATGATTTGATGAATTGCTTGGTAACTTCGATATTTACGAAAAAATAGAAAGTTTTAATTGCCACATTTTAACTTTAATATATATTCTGGATAGATAATAGAGTTTTAATCACCTTTTGTGTTTGTTAGTCAACTGAATGGCGCAACCCTGACAAGCACAAATCGAAATTTAACGAATATAATTTTTTATATATTAGATACTGTAAAGGATCCCACACACCAACGCGAAACTTTTCCGCTGCGAAAGTTTCGCGGCGGAAATTTTCCGATTGTTAGTTAGCGATTTTTAGTGACACATTGGAGCGTATGTGTAATTAATTATATATTTGCAATTCATACAATTATTTATTCAATGAGTTTGTCTGAAGAAGAAGTTTTACTGCTACTTGGTTTAGCTGAAGAGGAAGAATTTAGGTAAAAATAACTACGTTATTACGAGTATGTTGATTAGCAACACATAGGCAAGCATAATAGTAGTAGGATATTTATTTTCATAAGTCTACATGACTTAAATCGTAAATAATGGGATACTTTTTCACAAACTCGATTAATTTTTCGACAGTGCAAGCAGCGTTTCGAAAATAGAACGCTGCATTTTCGCTACTATTGCGAAACTACCGTTGCTGGTCTGAATATGTTCATAAGCCGCCGTGTTTAAGGTTCCGCTGCGGAATCGCTGCCGCAGCGGCAGCGGAAGTTTCGCGTTGGTCTGTGGGATCCTTTACGTAGTAATTTATTATGTTCTTTCCTCTAATTTTTAAGCAAATCATCAAATAATTTCAGTGCCCTAAAAAACGACGAGGGAGTTTTTCAACAGATTTTTTTTCTATATTTTTTGATTATAATGAAAATCCTCAACACGTAATTGCCAAAGTTTGTAGCTTGTATTACCTACATAACAGGTTATATTTAGAAATTTTTACAGTTGTCCGAATTTGACGAGGGTTTTTCATTGATGAATTATGATATCTCCAAGTTTAAATTAGATCGTAAATAAGATATCGAAATGAAAAAGAAAACGAGACGACACATAAATTACACCTAATAAAAAAACGAATTCAATGGCATACTAATGATCATAAGTTGGAAATTAAATCTGTATTTTTCATTAATATTTGTATGGTATTAATATTGGTTTAAATTAGAAATCCATTAAAAACGTGTCATATCTTTTTCCTTATACAATTGGCTTCAGAAGTGCAAAGTCAGAAACCTCAAGGATTTCTCCCTTTCTTTTTATCCCTTAATGCGACGGTTTACTTTCGCGAAATTTATTGTCCTTGGAGACGAATAACTTAACACTCTCTAAGCTGCTTTATTATAAATTGGTGAAAGAAAACAAAGATTTTCCCTTTTTATTAGTAGCTTCGATACTCCATTGAAACCACGTACAGGAAAATCGTTTGAAATAAAATACAACAATATATCAGATATTTAGTTTATTTCGCTAGTTTAATTTTAACTGAATGTTTTATAATTATTAAAAAGCCAAATATTTTGACTTTTTAATTAATAAAGGAGTCCTTTATTGTTGCTCCCGAAAGTTATCGACTAACCTAGTAATTTCGGTGAAAATGCCTGAAACGTGACGGCCAGGTTGAATAGCCGGTAGTTTAGCAAGTTAACCTATCCCGGATAATTTCTCTTACCCAATTTCCCTAAAGGCTGTTGTTACGAATAGCTGGGCAAAATTACTAAAAAAATACCTGTCGAACTATGCTTGCATGTCCGAGGGAAACTAGTGGAAATTTCAGCTAATAGTTTTCCTACCTAAAGACTTTCCATGCTTTTTACAATGTAATATGTACAATAAAAGAATTTTCTTTCAGGACCAATAATTTAAATTTCCTGAAAAAAAATCTTAAGGCCGAAGACTTAATTTTATTATTTTTCTCAAAAAAATCGCATAATTAAGGAAATAGAACCGTTAAATAGTTCTTATACCGTTTAAAATGTTCGAAATAACCGCTTCTAATGAAATATTGTTAATGTATTTTAATAATCCGTATAAAAATTCTGAATGAATGGTTTTGTTGAATAAACATAAGGGATTTGGTATAAAAGCCCGTTACAAATTTCTACGTATAATTTATGTAAATTAAAATTAAAAAAAAACGTATACAAGAATAGAGATAGCTTTAGTTTTTTTATTATAGTTTCATTAATAAACTGTTTTAAAAGATGCGGTTACCAGCATAATTTTTAATAGCGGGGTACTTATTTTTTACAACAGTAGAAATTTGGTACAAGAGTATCAGGGAATGGGTAATTAAGTCAAAAAAGGAACGTACAGTAAATTTAGAATTGAGAGTTTAAAAATATTTATATTGTTTTAAAAAGCAAATTGACCATTAAAAGCATTATATATTGAAATTTTTTATTCCTTTTGTCAATTATTCGCTTGGTTTATAATCCTTGTTGGGAAATTGATTTATTTAAACATTTCGCTTTTGTAATTTTACTATAAATTTAAACTAAAGCGTTTTAAAGAAGAATTATGTGCAACTATGATAACGATTTTCGGCTTAGGTTCCAAGAAAGCGATCATTTAATATTCAGCGGAGCTAATATTCACCATATAATCCTGACCAATCACCGAGCTGCTCCCTGCATTAATATGAAAACTGGAAATATCATATTTTTGCAATATTTTCTATTTATTTGGCTATACATTTTAACTGTTTATTGTTGTAAGAAAATAGGTTAATTTGTGACCTAAATTGCGTGAAATACGAACAATGGGCATAAATAAATGTGCGATTTATAACAGTAAATAAAAGAGTACCGTTGACTACCAAGGAAGGCAAGAGGTGTGATCCGTCGATATTAAAAAGAAGTAGGAGAAGACAGTCTTACCTGAGAGGAAGCTGCCGGCCAGAGAGTCGTCTTGAGCTTGCACCCCTAGAAGAAAAACTAGAAGGAATATTTCACCGGTCCTGCGCGACATTTTTGTGACAAACACCGAAATCGACGCACAGAAAATCAACACAATCAACACACGCTCATTGCTTGGCCTACTCCATTCGTATGCGCTACAAATTAACTGATGTGCAATACAGAATTTGCTTCCTAAAAATACCGTTGAATTCCTTCCTACTCTATAATAATGTGTTCTTGTGCTTCTTAATATCACTAACAGAGTGTATGTGAGTATCATGAGTATCGGTTTTGCTGGTACCCGCAGTGGTGCCGCACAGTTATCTTGAATCATCCACATCGAGGCCCTGGCCTTGACATGTTGGTCATCGACCCTCGACGTTGTCTTGCGTTTCTTCGGCTGATCCTCGACACACCTACGCAACATATGCACTAGCAGGTCCCAACAAGGACGAACTTGCACAAGGACCTTTAAAAAATTAAAACGTAACAAACGACAATGCAAGAATTATTGAAATTTCAAAATCGTATCAATCATACCTTTCCTCCGCTATCTTTGCGGGAAGTGCTATATGGGAGAGCAAAAAACGAGATTATGTGTCTGAACGAAGATTTAATGGAAGAGAAAATTATTGTGCAGGTTTCTGTGGGAATATGACATAAAGAAAAACTTTACAAGTGAAAAATTATACTTTGATTGATGGTTTTCACCCTTACGCGAAGTAATATTCATCTTATTGCTTATAAACAGAAATAATATATCAGGCGAATAGAAAGCAAACGGGGAGATAACAGGAAAATATGAATTTATCCTTAACGCTTAAATCTACGAAAATCTTCAACTCCCCCCTTTTTGATCCAATAAAGTCATATTTTATCGCCAAGAGAATTGTTAACGAGACTTCTTATTTTACAAATCCAACGGTCGTGAAGAATTACTTTTATTAAAATTGTATGTTTCAAGAGTTGATTTTTGGCCAAACACGACAAGCCATAACTTTTTTTATCTCGATTATTAGTGTCCGTAACTTATTTTTGTGTTCCATTACACCAGAAATATTACAAAATGCAGCACTTTTATTACGTAGGGATCTCAAGACGTATATGAAATGTAAAGGCAACATCAACGGTAATAAAAAATATAATCATAAAACTTTTATGTTTATAAACATCTGGAATTGGATATACTGCAGAAATGGACTCGTCAAGGTCTGCGTAAGATCTGAGGAGACGTAATATTCCTGTAAATTAGGTTATCACTTGTTATGTAGTGGATCCACCCCACCCTTTAACAGTAACGTTAACATTTCCATTTCCATATAAAATACAATGTCTTCTAATTATCTACCTACTTCGAAAACATGGTTAAATCTAATGGTAAAAGCCGGTAAGTAGCTAATTATCTCACCAGTTAATATTATGGATAATTGGATAAGTATTTCTTGCGGGTGAACGGAATGTCCCAGATATTTTTCCTACTTTATGTGTCATTTAGTTATCCATCTATATTTTAATTCATTTATAGTTCTTTTACGTGTCATTTATATATTTTTGTTTTCATCCATTTTGCTTTACTTTATTGCTTCTATTTATTGGCTGGAAAATATAAATTTATCATTTTTTTAATTTTTATAAACTTCATAATGTGTTTGAAAGGGAATTCGTAATAAATGTTATTATTGTTTTTCGTAGCTTTAAACAGCTTTATGTTCAAAGTCTAAAAAATATTGAAATAAATTACGTCGCCCATGAAATTATTCCAGACGATTAATCTGGAAAATAAAATCGATCTGTTACAAGGCGGAAACTGTACGTACATTTTATCTTCAAAAGTCTTGGAAGCGCTTTGAAATTTTTTATTAAATAATGTAGACAAAAATTGTAATGGAATGAATTACTCAATCGGCTCGCAGGAAAAAGTTAATTAACAAAATTCTGCAAATCGAAGAAAATAAAAGCTTATCGAATCGGGCCGGATTTGCCGAATTAAAATTCAATATTCCCCTTCAACTAAAAAATTCGAATTAAAAAGTACCACGCTTGGTTCAAATATCAAATTGAATGGGGCAGATCCGCGCTTTCGTGAGTATTTGTTGAAAAAACAGAACGAAGAGAATTTGATATTTGAATTCATGATTATAATCTTCGCTTTTCTTCACACTGACAAGAATTCGATACCAATTAATGTAGACAATGAAGATACTAAAAACAAAACAAAGTGAATTGAATTTACCTTTGCACTGGTTTATGACAAATAGCGGGAATACATTATAAAGTAAGGGGTGTATAAGGGAGTTAGAAAACTCTATGTAGACTCTAGATAGGTTTATATCTACTACCAACTGGATATAGCAATGTAAATTCCCAAAGCTCGATATTTATAGCTTCCGATAAGCTTCGCCTGCTTCTCAGTAATACTAAAGCATTAGATCCAAGCGTTAAAACATCAATACACGGATTCATCGACGAACCCTGAAATTTTCTTACTATAATTGGTATTGTTTTCCGCTCAGTTGAATCGAAAAATGTTTATGTAAAGGAATATTCATTTCATCAATCTCTCTGCTACTTCTCACTGCTACTTCTGATGATAAAGATTACTAATGTGTATGAAATTAGAAATCGATAGATTTTCAATGATGCTGAAAATCCCTGCCAATGCCACACAAGCGTCTACACTGACTAGTTTTGAACGTGTCACATGGAGCAATACAATTGTAATGGTTAGTTTCGAAGGCATTTTAAATAAAATCAAAACTGACTAAACCTTAAATTTTATTATAAGGTAAATTACATGCTACACATTTTAAATTGAGAATCATCGATAAATTACATACTTTTTGGATACATTTAGTGGAATAACTCATTTAAAATTGAATCTCAGTGTCATACTATTTTGATATTACAATGAATTAACAAACATTTAATTAATTTTTATGTCCACAATACTGATAAACATGTCTCTTCTTTTCTGAGTTTTATTAAAATCAAAATTATCGGCTCATTCTAGAATGTTTTTTTAATGAAGACATAAAAATTACTTCCTCAGCTTCAGAAGATTAAAGTCCATAAAATATAGACACACTTTAAAGTTTCCAATAAACAAATTACTTACAGCTTTACTAATATTCATGCCCAATAAATTTTATATACAGTAATTGGTTTGTGGTGACATGCTGCAAGTAATTAGTGAATAAATTAAATATATGTAAATACTATACACAAAATTCTTAACATTTATGTATTTACATTTTTTTACACAGTAAAAATAACCAGTACCAATATTTTAATTGCTGGAAACAATTCTTACCATTAAATGAAATATGCTTGAATCGTTTTCTCTTCAACAAATTCAATAAATAAAAAAAAAATTAAAAGCTCCTGAAGGATTGTTGGAAAAATCAACGTTCTTATAACTATAAATTATCCTAACGTTTTCGAAATAAGTTTTTTTATATATTATCCTGGTACTGTTTATAAAATAGAAAATAGTACTACGTTTAATAATTACCTAATTACCAACAATATAACTTCCCTGTGTTTAAATATTTTCCGAAAAGTCTTATATTTTCGTATTTAACAACACAAAGGGATAAGTTTGTATTATTTTTATACATTTATGTTACAAATAAAGTCCATTTTCTTCTAATGAACAACAAATCACATTATCACATTTCGTCACCAGAGTATACCGTCACTTCCTTACTCAATGCTGTCCAATGATTCTATCTATAATGATAATTTTATTCAAAACAGTAAACTGAGCGAATGGATCAGCTGATGGGCCACCCTGTACTCATTATAAACTTTTACACAAGATGCGGTAGAAGTTTAAAAAAAATTTCTCGAGTTTGGTTTTTCATTTTTTATGACTTTGTGTTTTATTCCTCTGAAAGACTGGGGTTAAATTATTTTTTGAGAGTTATTAGGAAGGAAACGTCCTTTCTGTAGGACCTCCTATTTCCTTTTAACGCAATAAAGACCCTTCGAATTTTTAGCTAAATTTATTTCTTCAGGAAGCTGAAGTTTCTGAAAGCCGCTCAGTTTACTGTGCTCAATTTATCGAGTTGATTGCCGTAAAAATACACAGAATTGAATTAATTACGTTACAATTTCCAATTAAATTAATATGTACATTTATCTTAAATATTAACAATGAACATTTACTAGTAATGCAGTGTATTATCTGCTATTTGTTTCTTGATTAAGTATACAGAGATTCCACAAAAAAGTGTCGATGTAACCCTGACTTCAAATACATTGTTTCTACTTAACACGTTTAGCATGTTTATAAATGTGTTCCCCAAACAAACAAAATGTATCCATGTTTAACTGAGCCTCGATTTTTGATTCGGATGCTCAAAATATGAAACAATATTTTAATAACTAGAGTAAAAAATCTTGTCGATCGTTCGATTGTAAAATAAATAAAAAATATAATAATACTTTCTCTGTTTATAGGAATGCTTGCGAGAACGATCGGTCAATGTCAAAAATATGTGGTTGAAATGTTGATGTGAATTATTCGAAATATCCGACATTTATTTGATGCAATAAATGTTACAATGCAAATATTTTATTTACCATAAAAATTTATGTATAATACGTAAAAGTACGCAATTGAAGTGCAATAATAGTTTCGAAATAAATTTGCATTAAAAATTTCTCTTAAACGATGTTATTTTAGAAGCGAATGGCAAGTAAAATATTGACTGTATGTAACTATTCAGGCATCCATTTACATTTTTGTTTGTCAAGGGATTACTTACTTGCTTTAAGGACCACAACTAATACCTGTTTTTGCAATGAATGTAAGTAGAATTCCATTTATTTACATATCAAATTTAAGAGTAAATAGCTACCTCGTACTTACTTGTTTTGGGTCAAAGTTGCTGAAGTAGCAAGACGTGTACAAATATGATATTATAATCAAAGCTAAAATGTTGAATGAGCTATTGGACAACCCCGCCGAGCCAGTTTGCATCGCTGCAGGCCTCTCACCTAAAACAACAAAATTATTAAATTATACAATGTATCTATGCACATATACATATGTAAGTACAATGTTTGGTTTGTGTTTCTATCTAGTAGTTAGTAATGATTGTTGAATTTAATAAATACACCAAACAATGCAAATTTCCGATAAAAAACTAACTATATTGTAAATATATACTAACGATAGGCAACCAAGATTTACTACATACGTAATATGTTAAAAAAAATGGGTATTTAATACACAAATTTCTATTATAATAAAAACGATATATAGTGCTCCTAGAACCAAGTCAAGGGCTTCAAATCAAATGAATTAAAAATTGTAAGCCCACATTTAAATAGCTTTAAAATAACGCGGGATTTCTGATAATCATCGAGGATTATGCCAACATTTTGCCAATCGGAAACAATCAATCAATGGTTGTTACGGCATACCCGTAAGCCAACTGTTCGTTCGTGTTTTTTGTCACTAATACCCCAAATAATTGATTGTCTTTATCAAACTGTTCAGATTTTGTAATTTTTTTATCTCGTCTATAAACATTTTTAACAAATTCGTTGAAATTTAACTAAATTTTAAGCATTTAGTAAGTAATTAAAACAGCTTTTTAAAATAAGTCCTAAAATGACTAGTAGGTAGCCTAATCGGTTTTCTATCAATTGGCGCTCGTATGCAGTAGGAAATGGAAAGAATTGGAAAATTTTTGAAAACAGAAAATCAATCGAAAAATAATTAGTTATTCATCGGCGCGACACCTCATTCGGATATTGGACTTTTATCGTTTACGTGCCGGAAAATGGGCTTTCCGAGAAAAACAATCGATTCGTTTTAATTACTCGAGCTAAAGTGAATCATAAATCTGCATAAAATTTTCGCGAATTTTCGCATTTATATTTATTTCAAGTCGGACGTCATTTAATTTTGAAAAATAAATATTAGTTGCGTCTTTTATGGGCAGTATAAATTTCCCAAACTTTGAATATAAATCAACCTGGCTACGAAAAATTTTTAACGTACAAGAGATTTTTAAGGTCCATTTGCGAATTTAAATAATCCCCTACAATTTGATCGTCATCAGAATTCCAACTATAAGGGGACATATTTTTCCGATTAAGAAACCAATTGAATTCCTTATTTATGGTAATAGCAGTCGAATTGTCAGGTGATCGTTCCGAAATGCCATTTAGGGTCATTAAAGTAAAGGAAACCTCCTTGCTTAATCTATTTTGAAATATTCACTTCTACTGATTTCTTTTCCCATTTATGCTCTAAAAATCGATAAACGATTTTATTTTTCAAAATTCAAAATTGTAAGGGAATTTTCCGAGAAACAATAATTGCCATGAGAGTTCTACGGATTTACTAATCCGATTCTGCTTATTGTCGAAAAATATTTTGATAAATGGACGAATTCAAATTACTGACAAGCTCTATTCAGAAAATGCGAAGCGATTTTATTGGAAAATTTAAGTAAAAGTAATATGGAGCTCGCAGTCGAAATTGACTCTCTATGCAAATGCCGTTTTAGGAAACGGAAAGCAGTGGAAATAGGAAATGTGCAAATCAATCACAAGGTAATTACGTGCGTAACTTGAATGACGGGAAACAACACTGAACGCTGCTTCCGATACAGTAATTAATATTATGCATATAGTGTATTCCCTGAAAAACTATGCCACAATCCTGATTTACACCGCTCGTATAATGTATTTAATTTTTCCTGTCTTAACAAGCATTCCACTTCAGCCTTTACAATTCATTTAAATAATTCTATGTATATTGTAAAATCTCGAATACACATTGAATAACTTCCGCTAGTTTTTTAACAATACAAAGTTGGTAAAATGGGAATTCTTCTTATTGAAACAATAAAAATAGCACTATCCTACATTTCGTCGATTAGCGTACAGTTTTGTAGCCTTAAAATTAGATGAAACTCAAGTTTCCCGAGAGATCGCGAAAGTAATTAAACAAGAAGATAATGGAGAATAAAAATGAAATTTTCACGGTACAGCACACCTACTTTTTTTTAAATTATTCGTTTTCTCACAACGTTGCAAATAAGTTATAAAACAAGGATTTTTTGCATAAATTGGTTAAATAATAAGTCCAAAAGAAAAGTGTTAAATACGTTAAAAAAATAAATGCATCAGTGAAGTGCAAAAAACAAGTAAATAATTAAAATGCACTCGCATGCATTGAATAAACCCTTGTACCGATCTGAAAGTCGGGAATAAATTGTTATTCTCAAAGCAAACTCACTGGTAAAATGTTTGGATCAACGAATATATTTACTATAATAGTTTACCATTCGGTGTTCGGAATAGATGAAAATCCTTTCTTCTGGTACGGCCACTATTCAATTTCAACAAAAAAATGTTTACTCGGGATCTCCCTTTGTTTACCGTACGTTATTCTTTGAGAAAAACTTTTGTAAATTACGTGTTACACACACATCGAATTTAACGCCGGCTCATTGGCATACTGGGAGGCACAAAAATAGGCAATTTCGCCGTGGAAAACATTATTCGAATACGTGATCGCGGAAAAGAATGTTTCTATTTTATTTGGACCAAATTAAACCGATTAAATTTAAATATTTAATTGCTTTAATTTAAAAGGAATGGAGCGTTTCGTTTTTTCACAAAAAAGTTTCTATTAAACTGCATACCTATAAAATATCAGAAGAGGGTTCGGGTTGGGGCATTATTAATAAAGGACAATAATTAATTGCCAAAGAGTTTTCTCTCGTTTTCTTGCCAGTCTGTTAACTATTTCTAGTTAATGCACTGTTCATGTCATTTTAATTTCTTCTAATTAAAACGGATAAAGGATCGTTAGCCTTGTCACATGAAATTACAATGCGAAAAAACGTCGGCGTAAAGTTTGATACATTACAGTTAATTTAAATGTTTGTCAAGCATAAAAAAATAATATAGTGGGATAAAACAAAAAGTAATCCGCTTTAATTAAAAGTGTAGCATTACGAAAGTTTCCATTTGGCTTACGCGACAGAGGGTTTATTGTTACGTCATATGGCATACAATTAAATTCAACGTTTACTAACAAACAAAGAAACCACAAATACTTATCAACTTAAATTTCAATCCAGTTTACAATCCACATTGTTGTACCGTAAGTAATGTAATACGTAACAGTTAGTACACTTTTTTATTGTTTTAATGAAATAAAATGTAGGCGTTACTTTGAAAGAAGAAGAAACCAATTAGAACTTGAATTTGCTCCAATAAAGCCAGTTATAAGTTTCAATTAAAGTTTTTGTCGCCTAAGCAATTCAAGCTGGGATGCGAAATATCATGCACTCAAAAAAGGCTAAAAGATGTTTACCTTGCGTAAGAACACGTTCGACTAAACAAGTGAAATACTGGGGTGCTAAACAGGTACAACTAGAGTGGAAATGCAATAAGAAACTCGAAGGAATTTTTATTCAAATACCAATAAAGCTGTCTAATAATGTTAGGCGAGAACGTCGGGATCATTCCTAGAGAGAGTCAAAGGTTGATTTTGAAAAGGGTTAAGACTGCAAATAGTTGAATGAATCAAATTAGGAAAACCGTTTTATTGAATTTGCGACCACATAGGGTGATTGTTAATGAGATCCTATTAGACGTTTCCCGAAAACTACATTGAATTAATAAACAAGAGTACTTGGGAAAGTTGTTGACCTAATATTTGAGATATATTATTTCATGCTAAACATAATGTTCCGGAGAAGATTATAAAAATGTATCTGCATCTAATTCTCTATACAAAATTTCTCTTTATTTATTTTTTGAGAATCGAGAAAACATATGCCACCTTGTAAAATTTTGGTGTTTTTTTGTCCTTGAAATAGCTACAATAATTTCACGAGAACTTCTTTTCTTCCAACTTCCTCTGCCTCTAATGACTTAACAACCATTTGGAAATTAGAAGACCCCTACTTTACAAGAACCTTAGAAAAAACTTACCGTTTAGGACATGTACTCTCACACTTGCGACATCTGCGTTCGAAGGACTACAGGAATATTTTCCGGAGTCCGATATGTCAGCGTGTTGGATCAGCAGGAAACTAGTTGTCACGTCGCCTTTCTCGGTTATAACGCTAACACCGCCACGACTGGAGTCGTAGCTGATGACCTGGAACAAAAAATACAGTTAAGATTTTTTAAGAAGTAATCCCTTCATTAATTTTTACGGACATAATATGGTGATTGAGCAATTTTATCCAGAGCTGAATCGCCCGGCAATCGCGCTGCACAAAGAGCATAATCACAGCAGACTCCAGTTTCTGCCTGGATGATAAATTATGCAGAATCGTTCAATAGCGTGTTAACATAGTGATGAATAAGTGATAAATCCAATTAATACAGGATGACCCCTTTATTCCAATGTGTTGCTCAACTCTATCGATTTCTATTCATCTTCGGTGATAAACTAAAATTGGCTTTCAATTGCTGACCGAAGGGATTTCGATGGTGTTCGGCCATTTAAAAGCTTACGGAAATGAGGCCGTTTTTTCGAATTGAAATGTTTCGATTGTTTGAATTATTTAACAGAGTTTTATACTAGCGATGGTTAATGTTTGTAACCCATTTTTTACTCAAGCCCATTCTTGTTCGCGCGTAAATTTTATATTTGAAATAGCAGGACATTGTAATCAAAACATTTCGAAAACAACACCTATTAATTATGTACTAATATTTAACAAAAAAATAAATTCAATTAGAACATCAATAAATTACGTTATTTAGGTAATTGAATTTATAATAATATTTTGGTATTGGCGCTATTTAATTTAATTACCCAAATGTTTATTTTAGGAAATTGAAATAAAATTATTGATGCAAATCAAAATAATCCAACAAATAAATTTTAAAATTTTAACTGTTCGTCTTATTTTAGTTGAAACATTTTATTGCAAACTTAACGAATCGTAATTGATTGAATTAATGCAAAAGCAGTTTTCCGTTTAAGACCTCATCAAATTTATAGTTTCTCACTTGAATGCTGTTAATTTTATAATCTTCTAAATCACTCTTATCTACTAAATATGCATGAAAACGGTTGCTTATTGATACTTTTGTGAAGCAAGAAGACAACATTAATAAAATTTAGACAGTCCTAAGAACTAAGTAGTTGTGGGGCGATAAATATGAAAACAAAAAAAATAGAAACATAATAAAAATATCGAATTAATAAGAAATACCCTAATAAATTGGTTTTTAAATCTGCATAATTATCGTGCTTAATAATGCCATTAAATATTACCATCGAATCTTATTAGCAATCAGGCAAAGAGAAATCCCGAAAACATCGATTCAAAAATTCCACCCTAATATCTTCCGCGAAATAAAACATATTTAATATTTGACTTGCAAAGCAGGGTGTCGGATAAAGCAACCCGATATACTTGAAACAAAAATCTTGAGACAATATATCTGGGCCATAATCCGAAATCTCGAGGCTGTAATAGGTGTTTAAGCGGGCCTATCCTCCCAGAAAGATGCCGCATCCAGGGAGGGTGATCCGCCGACAATGAATTATGTTTGTTGACCTGCACCGAAGATGGCACCAGAGGCGATTCCAGCCAAATGGTTACTTCCCCTTAATCTCGATTTACATCTGGTTTATTATTTATAAGACTTTTTTAATTCAAATATATTGTTAGAATTATTACGACCTCCTTTGTTTTATCCGAATTTTCCGGTTATTTATTTTGATAGGTTCTAGTTGATTTAGTTTAAAATACATTTAAATGTGAAACCAGCCCTGCACCAGAACGACATACTAGATATTCATGGTATAGTATACTGAATAGAAAAATGCATTAAAGATGTAAGCTTTGTTTCCTTCAACTAATTTACTTTTATCTCTCAGGTAAATCCTGGCGTGAAAAACGTGATACCCTAATATTTCAAAGGTACCTAAAGACCCTTTCACTAGAGTTCATAACAAGAAAAAATTTCTGTGATTTTAAAAGAAATAGTCTACAGAAGAAAAATAATGCGAGTCACAAACAAGAGTTACTAATTATTTGAAATAAACTAGCGAAATAATTGTCTAAAACTAATTCTACAAAAAATTTTCAAATCTGATGGAAACTTTTTGGTAAAATCAGATTTCTCGATCTCGAGCAGAACGTTTCTGCAAGATAAGCTACCTCTAACTATATTCATTTATTACGCCACAAATGAAATTGTCCTAAATTTCAAGTTTAAATAAAGGGTTTTCATGCCAACTGGAGGACCCGAACATTTCAGTGAATATTTAATACGTATATGCATATATTAAATCGACTCTTGAATAAAGGTACTTTCAATTAATTTTAATGCATGTGTCTGTATTTAAGTGGTAATTTCTTTGTTTTTTTATAATCTTTTGATTTAATCGAAGAATTTTAATTGCATAGGTTACCTACCAATGATATTTATTTTGTTGAAATTACAAGTAATGGACTATTGGTCATCAGGAGAAAAATTCCAATAAGCTTTGGAATGTGATAACAATATTTTGTAGTATTTTGTTTTGGTTACTTAATTTAAAAAAAATAAGGATTATTTGCATAGAATTCGTACTCAAATCATAATTAATTATACAAACAGTATAATTTCGAACGTTTTCATTAAGAGAATCTGTATAATTTTTTAGTGGATCTGTCTTAGTTTAAAAGTCAAGTCACATTTAACGACACTCTACACTTTCTTAATTACACGAACCGAAATTAATATTTCAGCATCTTAATCCGAGAGGAGACCGGCTAAAAACGACATCAAAGTTTAATTTATATTCTTAAAAAATTATTCCAAAGTTGGCTAGCTAGAACCCTAGAGGTTACATCTAATATTAAGACTTTTTTGATGATAAAATTACGACGAGGTTGATTGCATTAATTTATTTGAATATTCACTAATAAATTTAATATTCACTATTAAATTATGTACGAAGTAGGTACTTACATCGTCATGGTGGTACCAAAAAATGTAAGCTGGTGGTTCTGGACTGAATCGAATGGAGCACGTCAAATTGATGGTACTGCCTTTGTCAACATGCAGGTCGGGGCCACCCAATATTTGAGCCGTGGGCACTGAAAAAAAAAACAAATTTTAATCAATATGTAATCGATATGTAAATAGAATAGTTTTGTTACATTTTATTTAATGCAGTTAAAAGTATTAGTTATTAGTTTAGCTGAAAATGTATGTACTATGTTATATTTCAATGATTAGATATTTAATATCTCAAACCTACGCTAATGTTAACTGTCGTTAATAATATTGGACACCCTCTTTGAACGAATAATGCTAGTAAAGCGTAAATTAAAGTAAATTGATTAGTTGGTTTAGCTGATACTAGATTATTCGATTACTTTTGTAATATTCTGTTCGGCTTCTTAGGCTTAAGAGATTTTCTGTACTTTCATCTTTCGCTGGTTCATCGCCAACTAAATCATCTAAAATAAAACATAAAAAAGTAAATAAAAAATGAGCGAATGTAGTTTTAAAAATGTAAAAACAATCGACAGCAAAATATTAATACTTTTTTCTATTACTGATGTATAATACATGAAGATAAAAATAATTTAAGGTAAAATAAAAATAATGAAAACAGATCGTATCACCAGAGAAGTCTGTAATTTATTTCCATCAAAAAAAAGATAAATTAGTAATAAATTAATGCCAATAGCGATAAGCTTCACGATATTATGATCTAATGAGAGATTGCGATTCGTAGATGGTGAAAAAGACATTAAGAATGCCAATTATGTCTTAATAGCCCCCGTGAATGGGTTCGAAATAGAGCGATCGCTAACGCTAGAAAGAAAAATCGGTTGTTTAGTTTTGTCACGTAAGCTCATGCGATATATCATCAGCTTCTGATTTAATAGGACGATTTGCTTTTTGATGTTTTATACAACACATTTTGTTCGAAATTTAAAGGGAAATAAAGCAAAAACATCGCCTTTCGAGTTTGGGATCAAAGGCAAAATATATTGGAGAACTGTGAATCGAATTAGGATTCAGACATGTGTGTACATCGTAATGTCCCAATACGTTATCTAGTTCTTGCGATCTTTGCAAATTACTACAGATTCATTGATCATTGAAAAATCCAATTACGATTTGACCTGACAGTGAATATTTCTTAATGTTAATGTGTATTATTAAATAATTATACTAAAATGGACGATTTACAATTCACGTTTATCTAAATAATTTAATTTCATTAGAATGCTAATCCAACTTTTTTCTTTTTGATTAAAATTTGTATCTATGTATATTATTTCAATTACGTATCTGGTTTGCCTATTGCAGTATATTATCACATGCTTATACATATATTTAAATTTTATTAACAAACGCCCAGCTTTAATATAAAATTTTAAAATGTCGCGTTATATCTGTGATTTGAGGTTTACGCAGAAATCATTCCACATAACCGAGCTTTGAATGAAAAACTATTGCGCATTATTTAATTCAACCAGTGTTAACATAACTACAATTATATTTATTACGAACATTATCATAATCGAATTTTTTATTCATGCTTTCACCATTGAGTTTAATATTCACACATATATTACCTATAACGAATAAATCCGGTGAAAACGAAATATTTTCGCATATTTCTACTGCTTTATTGGCTAGAATTTTTATTGCTTCGTCCAATGTGCTGGAGTCTCCAGTGAATACCCGGTATACGTCTTGTGAAAAACTAGGCTACTAGTAGAGCAAAACTCATATTTAATTCGTGAAATAGCGCTGCGATGTAAAATTCAAAGTTTAAGACAGGTGAAGTAGAACAGTTCAAAACAGAAACATAAATTTCTGAGTCAGATGTTTGCGAAACCTTTATCACTCGATCTCGATATTGTTGGGGAAAGTTCCGAACGCCACATCCTAAAATACCGAGCAAAGATTTAGAGCAGACGCGAATTAGCATGTAAATACTTAATACCGTTTGAAAGGAGCATTTAATCCTTATATTTATTGTCCAAGTACACAAACAGTGCTGACGCTGCAATTACAATAGCTTTATATTTTTGGATGTAGATAGTATGAATAATCACAAAAGAAATACCTTCGATATACTCAAACCAGACGTAATTGACATTCTTGGATACTAATGTTCATTAAATACATACCTAATATATTTGTTTTGTATTCCACCAAACTAGTGGACCAGATTTAACACGATTGTTCTTTGCTTCAGCGTAATTTGAGTTTTAATATATTTGTTGTATAATTTATTTGAATATCAATTTATATTTGTTTTGTCATTTACGCCTAATTGTTTCATTTTAGTTGGTACATAGTGTAATTTAAACGAGGCGAAAATTCCTATTTATGTACTCAATATTCAGCTGGACGGTTTACTATTATTGAAAACCATCATATTTCATTTAATTTTACTCTAAGTATGCCTATTTGTTAGTATGATTGTATTGGAGTATAGATATAATAATTATTATTAAATGTACTTGCTTTACATGTTTCATGTATTGTATAGCCTTTTAATAATATTGATGAGTTTTGTCAGTTTTGTTGATACGATATTAATGTCTTATTAGTATTAAAAGCTTTTTCAAAGTAATTTTAAAGTTATTCACGCGAAAAGTACATTTTCCGTTCCGAATGACCGTTCTTACGATGTAATTATATTGCCTCAATGTAATTAAAGTCTGCGGTGCAAGTACTTATAGTTTTCCAATTTATAAGCAGTTTGTTTTAGGAAAAAAATGGTAAAAAATTATCGAATCAACCGTTTTAGTTAGATTAACAAAGTTTTATCTTTGTAAAAATCTTAGTCAATAAAATACAACTGACAATTTAAAACTGAAGTTAAAGTTTGAAGCAACCAACTTATACTATACATTCGGGATAAAAACAGCAGATAGAACATATTGAAATCGGAGAAACTACTTAAATTTTATGGATTTAAATTAGCATTATTAGCTCTTGTACCAAGAACTTTAACCATCTACAGTTCGAGAGTAATAACAAAAGCCACGACATGCGCAAACTTGGCAATTCTATCTCACTTTGATTTATATGAATAGACTGAGCCCCGTGTAGTTTTGCCACCGCTTTTAGAACAGATAAATTTTCAATTGAAAATTCTACCACTAATAAATCAATAGTTTTTTTAATATATACTTACCGACGACATTGAGATTAACAAAGTAACTTTTGACCGGCTGAGTGCTTATTTGACACTCATAAGTCCCAGCGTCTCTCTTTTGAGCCCATTTAACTTGAAGTGTCCAATCTTCAGTTTCTGGGTGATGATTAGCCTGGAATCGTTGGTCACTCGTATAAGTGTAACTGCCAACCGTAAGGATGTGAATATCTCTATGCCTTATCCATGATACCTGAAACAACAATAACAGAAATAAATAATTATTGAGGATTACAAATTAAATAAATCTCGATAATTCGCTACCGGTATGAAAAGTTTTGCTGTGTATCTACTAGATAATATATTTTTTAACTAAATTCAAAAATATATTGAAGAATGTTAGAAGCAATAGATCTACTCGAGAATTATGTGTATAATCTTAAGAAAAGAGGATATTCATTGACATTCAACAACGATTTTGCAGGGAAAAGACATTATAAAGCTGGGTCAATACCTTAGCGATGATGGATATCTTTGGGTGAACTTTTAAGAACATCACGTTTTCGCTACTCAGTCGACTCCACTATCTCACTTATTATGGAAATAAATTTACATATTCTAGATATAGGATGTACGTAGTTTATACGCGGATTGGTTTAATAATAGCCACTATTTTATATGAAATATTTGGAATTTTTTCGCTCACATTCTTATTGGCTGCAAAGAAAATATTTTCAAAAAGCGATTTGCTGAACTTTTGCAGGTTAAGTCTGCAATTTTTATGTGTAATAAACTCTAATTAGTCACACTGTAAGTTTAAGTCGAAAGTTACACATTTGCAAGTATACGTATGTATGTACGTATTAGTAAATGTAACTAAACATGATTATGCTATGAATGTTCCAGGATTTACAACTTTGTTCGTGATAAATGGATGAAAAGAGACAAAAGTATGCCTAAAGCTACGTATAATAAGCGCACACACAATTTCGAGTTGTGCAAGCACTTACATTTAGAAACTTTTCATTCGCATCACATTTAATAATATTTATTACAGTGAATTTAACTTCATACGTTGAAATCTGTACAGGAAATTTTTACAATCAATTAACAAATTTCAGCAGGTATTAAAGGAAAAAAAGCGCTGAAAATGGTGCGCATTTGATATCTACTCGCATAAAACTAATCTTTTTTTAAGTGCAAAACAGCATAAATTTGCACTTGGTCGATATATTGTCCGGTATTGCAATTAGCAACTTACAAATTTATAGGGTTTTACACTTATAATGACTGACCAGGGGATTACGTTGCACTCAATTATACAAACGTAAAATTTGCTTATGGGATAGAACACAGATCCGCTCAATGTAGTGATTTATTTGCTGTTGACACTAATGACAAATGACTTACATCAATCTAATTGTATTTACCTCCTATTCGGATCTAATACCATTAAAATCGCCCATTATTTGGTTGCTTGAGACTGGCAAGTGACCGCATTTAATCGTAACTCTTAATGCAGATTTAAGAGGATCCGGTTTCGGGAAATTAATTAATTTTCGTCGAGCAATTTATTATTACGAAACAATATTACGTATTGAGATCAAATGATTGATTTAAAAAATTATTCTGCACGAATTTTTTTTGTGTGTTATGCGACAAATTGCTATGTGAAGAGTCGTACATACATAAATGTATGTACATATGTATGGATTGATTTGATTCTTTGGTTAGTTTTTTAAATAGCAGAAAATATTAAAAATAGAAATTGAGCGATTGTTGAGCGACTCTGGTATACTCGTATGTATATCAGAATAAAACGTAGTTGGTATAAAGAGAATGTTTTTTGCTCAGTGAAGCAAATAAAAGGTTTTCCGGTGTGGCAATACAAGAAAAGACATTTATGGAAGTAAAAAATTTACCGTTTTTAACAATGAATTTTAATTAAAGCTTGAAGTGGAAATCTGGTTGATTTTAAAGCAAAAAAAGGGATACAAATCATGTATATAATTATAACAGAGAAGGGAAAAATGCTAGAGAGTATATAATTTATACGTTCCAACGTTGAAATTTTGGTATTGTGGTTCCGTCAGCCATTCTTGCATATATCACGACTTCCCTACCCTACATACTACAAACAATTCAGATAAAACTCTTTGTGTCGTTGGCTCACAGTCCCACTTCGCGACAAAAAGAACATTTGTCACCAACAGATAAAATTACTTCGCTTTATCAAATTCTCTTGTTTCTATTTACCAAAACAATCGACATTCACACGTCTTCAATAAATTCGTTCGGGATCCGTCGAAATTTCATCATTAAGCAAAATTTGAATGCATCATTTCCCCGAATTCAATTATTTAGGAGCATTTAAAACGGAAATTCCGGACAAATCGTTACATTTCAAATTTCTCCGTCAGCCGTTCCAAATGAAATTATTTCGCGAATTTTTCTATCTGGATTTATTAAAGTTTAAATGTAATGAGGATTCTATATGTAAGAAAATTTATTATTTTTTTGTTTGTATTTCTTCTTGACTTGAATTCTTCTCAGTATTATGTAAAAAAGGACGGTCTTACTTAATCTTTTTCTGAAAAAATCCTCGAGCACATCTTCTTTTATATTTCTCAATTTTATATTTCTCCCCCTTCGCATCGCCGAAAAAATATGTTTTCATTTATTATAAATTTTTATGAAGTACATTTTTATTTCTGAAATCAGTTTGATTATTCTCAAAAACTTCTGTAAAATTTTCTTTAAATGTTAATTAATGAATTATTTTGTATCGTGAAATATCATGTGTTGAAAATAAGATAATAATGATAAAACAGACATTATTATTCAGTCAATATGGCATCGTTTCTTAGTGAACTAATCGCAAAACACATAAATGCTTTGTAGCGTGACTGCTGATAATAACCGTATGAAATATTAGATGATAAAAGTTGGGAAATTCGCCCTCTAATTATCATAAACTATTTACAAACTTGGCCGGAAAAACGTTTTTCTTAAGGAAATTTTATTGCCACATTTGATATAACTATTGTTAGTAAAAATGGAATTATTGTCACAAAACTTCGTTCATTAAATCCCATCGCCAGAAATTTTGCAAATTTTCCTGAATAACTAAGGCATTAAAAATAAGTAAACCTTAAAATTTATAAATTATTACATAACATGGATGGAAATAATTGTATAAATGAAGTTACAGCGTAGTCTGATAATGAAGGTTTGCAATCTTAATGTAACAAATATTTTTTATTCATCTATTTCTTCGATACTCGACAGATTGTAAAACGTATTTACCTTACGTATTCGGTTAAGGAAAACAAACTACTTGGACATTTCGAAATATTCCTGCTGGGTGTTTTTTTGCTTCATTTATGTTTATGACAGAATGTCGTATAAAAACATATTCAAACATTATTTCACTACGCTAACGCTATATGCACAGTAGAAAGAATGTTATTTTTATTTTTATTGGAAATAAAAGAGAAATAAAAACATTCAGTTTGTTAGTGACCCTATTTTGAGTGCATTAAAAAGCTTTTTTTCTTCAGAAAATTAAAAAGCGAATCCTTCAAGTTCGATGCCAATAAATCTTTTAAAGCTCTGCCTTAATGAAAGCAATCGAATGTTCCATTCGACTAATAGATTTTCTAAAATAAAATACCGAGTTTGTCTGTGCAAGCGAGCATAAATTTAAATTAAATTTAAACGTTGAAAGTGTTAACGTTGATAATATTGTAACCTCATAAACCATAGAGATAAGCTTAAAATTCATGAGATAATAAAGAAGTTGGATTTATTTAAATTTAATTTCGAATGCTACTCACATAATGGTCTTTTTAATGTTATTTTAGCTCTACTTTTGTAATAGAAGGGGTTTTAGTTTTATTGGCTTAGATTCTACAGTGGGGTAGTAAAAATCGATTAATGGTATGTTTGTTTGAAAGGAAAAGGACGTAATAATTACCAAGTTTATTCAAAAAAATGATCTCTTGAAAAATAAGTGACCTTCAAAAAAGAAAGATAAAAACCCCTAGACATGAGTGATCCTTGAGACTATGATATTTTCCAGGAAATACGGAAGGAAAGGCTTCCTGTTGACTTTGTTTATTTTTCCTACACTTTATTGCTTTTAAAAACTAGTATTTTCCTTTTAAACCATTACTACTCCTTTAATAGGTAATAAGTGTAAGTTTACCTGTTTGAACTTATTTCCAGATTTAATTGATCTGCTGTACAGACAATAATTGTGAAAATATTCGACAGAACGTATAAATGTAAAACTATTGAAAGATTTAACGGTGTTAGTGCTTGTCGACAAAAACACTTTGAAATCGTCGAATATTCAGAATTGTTCAAATTCACGAAATGCAAAAGTTTTGTATTGTTCTCTTCACCCTTTTCTCTCTCGGGCAATTCTGTAATTTGGTAATAAATTGGATAAAACCTTAAGCCTTGAAATTGGCAAAAGTTTTTGGAACGTCGACAGTTTATGAAAGAAATTGAGACTTATGTCTTCTTCCGAAAATAATCTAAAGTACTAAAGTTTTACAATTTAACCATTAACAAAGATATAAAATAAACTATATTTGCTACAATAAAATAAGCGGATTTTTCAAGGATTAGGTCTATTAACATCTTAAACGAAAGTTTTGTTTAAAACGCGAGTCACTTCCAAAAAATATCTCAACTGGAAATTATTATCTCCGATCGGTTCGAGTGGAAATAAAGTATTTTCCTTTGTATACTTCAAGTTTAACTGTTTTTTGTTCTTCAACTCTATCCAAACTGCTGAATTAACTTTTAATTAAACGGGAAATTCAAAATTTACTAAGCACAGTTAAAGATAATATGTGTAAAGTAGTCTGTTTATTTCCAGAAAGTTTACTGATCCGAAAATTTATTAGGTAAGTAAGTTAAACTCTTGTTTTTTTTAAACTATGTTCGTCTAAGTTTTAACTAACTTATATTAAACGTTTATACAATTATTTCATTTTATTATTTTTTATATTGTCCGCGAGTTATTTGTTCTCATAAGATATTCTTAGTAAATAATCGAAAAATTTTTAGACATCAACTTTATCTTATACACTGTATATTTAAGTAATTAAATATTTTAATGTGACACGTCAATAGAGCCCCACAGGTTTGTGTATGATCTTATCGCTCCGTTCTAATCGATTCACCTACTATAATGCTTTTAACTGACAATATTGCGCTGAGGGAAAATATTACGGAATTTTA